CCATAGGTGGGGCTTTTCCAGAGGTGGCTGAATTTAGAGTATGTGACTAATTCATGGTGATATGCCAGGATTAACGGTGGATGATTAGTAAATCAGTCCACTGATTGGTTTGGCACTGCCCTAATCCCAGTAAATATATATATGGCAGAAAAAAGCTGCTAAGGGCCATTGCTTGCTTGCTTTGCTAACCTTGGCCCACCATGAACTATTTCTTCTCTACGATGCCAGTCTGCCATGTGCCACACTGCCTTAGAGCTGTGTAAACTAAACCCTTTCCCCCTTTAACTTTTGGTACCTGTTTCAGCAAAAACAGAGAACTAAGGAAGGTACTCAAATCTAGGCATGAAATTCATTTATGTTTCATCTATACTTCATACACACATTCTGAAGGCAATTCCCTACATTATTTTTAGTGTTCCTGCACTAGACTGTAACCTGTCACAGTGGTGTGATGTTTGCCCTGAAAAAGTTCCAGATTTTGGACTAGGGATGCACAACTTGTATGCAGTAGCATTGCAAAAACAAGTTTCTACTGATGAGGGAAATGGTCCCCAAAAGCCCATCATTTACAATTATTTCAAAAAATTTATTTAAGTAAAGGAAAAATACAGAGCACATGTGGCAAAAAAAGAAGCACTAATTAAATCTCAACAGTTGCTACATGAGAAAGGAAGCAGAAGTTTAAGGGGAAGGGAGGAACACATGCCAGGGCCTAGTGGTAATGGACACTGGAGTTTGGAGTAGGGCTGGGTGCCAGGCACTACCACAACCCAGGTAGGGAGCAGTTCCTATGGGAGGGCACTTGCCTGGCACACATGAAACCCTGGGTTTGGTCCAGAATTCCAGCCTCAGCACTCTCTAACCAGACCAGCATTGAGTATACCAGCTAAGAGCAAAGAAATGGGACAAGAAAGGTAGGTGAGAAAAAGGTAGAGTGGGTTTCTGAGGAAAATACTATGACCACAAAGCCTGTGGACAAATGTGAAAGCTCAGCTGAGGTCAGAGACCAGGGCTGTGCAGCAGCATCAACCTGCTAGGAAGAGCGTTTTCTTCCTAACAGCACTTGCACTCTGCAAGTGCACAGAAGGCAGGTACATCGATTAAGGCTGGAGGCAGCAGGAGGAAGAACAGGAAAAGCTTACGATGTCGGTAAGGAAGTTGGTGAAATGACAGCTTATGGTATTATCTGTGCTTGAGTGAAAAACAAAAGGCGGGAAAGGGTGAAACAAAAACAAAACAGAAAAACAGGTTTGGAACCAGCACCTAACACATGGGCACTCAAGAAGAAACACAGAACTAAGTATGTGGCAGCAGGAAGGATACAGGGCTCCTCTACTAGAAAAGAACAGAACACATGAGTTAAAGGTTTTGGAGGCAGAGCAAGCTGGACACAGTGGCACATGCCTAGAATCATAGCCACGTGGGAGGCTGAGGCAGGATTACTGTGAATTCAAGGCTAGCCTGAACTACATATATAACTAGGCTTTGTCACAAAGGAACAAAGAAAGAAAAAAAAAAAAAACAGACACAGAAAAAACCCGGGAGAAAAGACCCAGAGTGAGGCCATGAGGAAAACTGACTAAAGTGCTATGGAGTAAAGGTCAAAGGAACTAAGGTAGAGAAAATTAAAGGTTTTGGATGAGATACCCACACTCATGAAGTAGAGGAGCCCTGTATCCTTTTTTCTAGTAGAGGAGCCCTGTATCCTTCCTGCTGCCACATATTTAGTTCTGTGTTTCTTCTTGAGTGCCCATGTGTTAGGCGCTGGTTCCTTCTTATCTGGGATAAGAATACAACTAGGAAATGACAATTTGGGTAGCTTGAGGTGAAAGCATGTGGGTTACAAAACCATGTAACTATGGTATATGAGACTCCATAGACATTATGAACCTTCATACTGAAATGTTTGGGTCTAAATTTGGCAAGGACTTAATATATGATGTTGTGTGATTGAATGCCAGACTATAGACCTGTGTCCCAGACCCAGCAGCTGAGATACAAAGTAGCAGAATCAAGGTGTTCTTACGAAACTGCATGCTTAAATGCATCATAGGCTCCATAGCCAGGTCTCTTATACTTGTCATCGAAGACCCACGCAGTCCTCTGAAACAGGCTTTCCAGCTGCTCATCCTTGGTATATTCTAGGACCTCAGCAACATGACGAAGAATGCTATAAACCTACAGACAGAATGAAGAGCTCGAGATTTCCCAGATCAGAGTGATAACAAATGATTATTTATTAAACACACAGGTAGTAGACTAGTTTGTGTCAAAAACGAACTTACAGTTTTTGATTTTGTGAATTTGTCTTCACATTTGATTGCTTCTTCTGGAGAAACTCTTCTTTTCGACAAATCAATGTATCCTATGAGAAAATTAAAAAAATAATTATGTTCAGGTGCTAGTGTACTATTGTAACCATTTTTTTATTTTTTATTTTTGTGGAACCGGGGATTGAGCTCAGGCCCTTGTGCTTGCCAGGGAAGCGCTTATTCTACTGAGACATCTCTCAGGCCTCTGTAACCAATTTTTATAAATGAAGTATTTGATTGGCAAGTTTATTATTCTCTATTAAAACTATAAGGGGACTGGGGAGATAGCTCAGTGGCTTAAGTGCCTGCCTGGCAAGTTCAAGGTCCTGAGTTTGATCCCCGGTACCAAAGAAAAAAAAAGAGAGAGAGAGACAGACAGACAAAACTGTATCAGGGCTGGGGAGATGGCTCAGTAGAATTAGCACTTCACTGGCAAGAACAAGGGCCTGAGCTCAATCCCTGGTTCCACCAAAAAATAAATAAATTAATAAATAAAATAAAATCATATCAAAGGGCCTGGGAGATGGCTCAGTAGAATAAGCACTTGCTTGGCAAGCGCAAGGGCCTGAGTTCAATCCCCAGTTCTGTAAAAAAAAAAAAAAAAAAAACAAACCAAAAAATATAGCAGGGGGCCTGCCCCTTAGCTCAGTTCTTTAAGTGGCTGCTTCAACAAAGCATTCAGGCTCAGGTTGCTGTGGTTCGATCCCCACAACTCAAGCAGCCCAAACCTGCCCTGAGGTCATTCAGAGCCAAAAAAAAAAAAAAAAAAATCCAAAAAATATAGCATAAGAAATAAAAGATATGTTGGGCATGGTGGCGCATGCTTGTAATCCCAACACTTGGGAGGCTGATGCAGGAGAATCCCTTTGAGTTCAAGGCCTGGGCTACAAAGTGAGTTGAAGGCTACCCTAACTACATAGCAAAACCATCTTAAAAACAGAGAAAAATATGGTTCATTCTTTGGAATGCATTTTTACCACCAGATAATTATGTATTTGCTATTACTATGGTGGAAGAAATTAATGATTTTGAATTTCTCTAAATGGGAGTTATTGAAATGCTTCTCCTTTCCACTTGTTTTCTCTGACCTTCTGCAGAGTAGGAACTCACCTATTTAACAGGCTGTTTGTAAGTTTTTTTATTGATACAGTGTGTGTGCACTGCAGGCTGGCTTCAAACTCAGAAGCAATCTATCTGCTTCTGTCTCTTGATTACAGGCATGTACACTAAGCCTGTAAGTTTTTTTTCTTTCTTTTTTTTTTTAAAGGAACATATTAAAATTCCCACTTCCTGACTACTATAGCCAAGTGATGATAACAGGTGTTTAACTTAAGAATCTCATCAAACCCTCAAAATCCTGCATGGTAGACTTTCTTTCCCACACTCCCTTACCCTTTTCATCTGAAGACACTACAACCAAGAGAAATTAAGTGACTTGTCAAGTAGCTACAACACAGAAACCCACAAACCTGTACTTGGTTAGAACTTAAGAGTACAATGCTAATTAAGTGGTGAGAGGGAGTATCTTTGCCTCCTTCCCCATACTCAAGGAAAGGATGGTGTAGTTTTCCTACACCGCTTCTATCACATGAAGGAATCCCCTGTATGTGTCCTGCACTTTCATTACAAATGGGCAGTGAAATGTTTGCTATTGCTTGGTATTGTATAAGCCGTAAGACTTTTCTATTAGTTACTTACATTGATTTTCTATTTCAGATTCTGAGCATTTCTTTCATAAAATAAATGTGTGGTTTACTTGAGGGTGGCAGCAGCTGCCTAAAATCCAGAAGACTGAGCTAGTATTCTAAAATCAGAGGTAGGCGGACAACTAACATAACCCTGTCTCAAAATAAAATTTACCACCTTCAGCACAGTTTTGTCATTGAAGAATATAACAAAACTTGGTGAAAGAGAGGGGAAGAGGGAGAGAGGAGGAAAGGAGAGGAATATACACAAGTAAAAACTGTCAGTCCACAAATGACAATAAAAAAAAACTACAAGTTTGTAAATAGAAACTTTTCTTTCACTTGGGCAAATACCTAGAAATGGAACTGCTTGTGTAGGTTGTATACTCCCCCACACTTGACACATAAAAACCAACCCTGGGATGTACTAATTAAGTACCACTAACTTAAGAAGCCTTGCTTAACTAATTAGCATCCTTCTCTAATAATTTTTTATGTGAAAGAGTTGAAATATAAAATTTTTTCATTGCAATATACTTATTTTTTTACTATTTATTTTTTAATATACTTATTTTTAATTTAAATTTTTTTATTACTCCATGTTTACAGCACATGATTACACTCATCTTGGATAGTTGGTATACATAAATAGTACATCTTTACTCCTTCAGGTAACTTAAATAAATCATCTTAAATGTGATATTTATATTTTAAGATACTTTCCTCACTTACCTTTTTCTTTGTCCACTCTAATGACAACCACACATTCATTCCTACCAATTCGAATGAGTTTGTTTATAGAACGGATACGTCTTCTGGATAATTCACTAAGAAGAATCATGCCTTCAATGTTGTTGTATTCCAGCAAACTGACATAAGCTCCCATTTCAGCAATGGACCTTACATTCACCATCACTACATCTTCCACCTCTGGAAATTTGTGCTGATAAAATCTACAACTCAGACCTGGCATTCTGCAATTTAAATGAAAGAATCAGATTAAGTGTCCAGTTGAAGTGAAAATAAAGAAATGCCAGTTTTCTACATCTTGCCACTGAAAAACACAAATGAATAACCCTCTCCCCGCAAAACCAAACTATCAGTCTTCTCACGTCTTTAAACTTCTTAAATGGTACCACAAAATAGATGAATATCTAGGAAGCAAGTTTTAATTTTTTATTCTGCAACATGTTTTCGTAAGGCTTGTCATCAGGCCTTTGCCACCAGTTTCAGAGGAATCATAAAAAATAATGACCATCTATAAAGTACTCTGAGAACTAAGGATTAAAGAAATACCTCAAAAGTAAAACACTATTTAAATCCCACCACTTTAAGAAATACCAAATGATGGGAAGCATCACGACTGCTATAAACCTTTCAGCAAAACCAAAGCTACTCTTTTCTCCAAGCCCACTAACACTCATGTTACCCCTGCCATGTAAAGAATCCTCTATCTAAACCTCAACCAGTACCATTTTGGGGGGGCTGCTAGGGACTGAACCCATGGTCTAGGGCCCTCTAGGTGAGTACTCGACTGCTCTATTTTTACTTTGTTGAATAGGTATAATCTTAAAAATAGCTTTATTAATTTTCATTTCTAAAGAGTTCAAACTTCTCTTAACCTCCAGGTATTAAAGACATTTAAAATTATTCCCTCTGATCCACCCAACCTGGTGGGAACACCCCTTTTATGACCCATAAGCTAGAAATCATACTGTGCATAAAAGTATGTTTTTAAAAGGAAGTACACAGACTAATCATGGCTGATGACTTTCATAGTTTATCCTTAACCTATTTATCGTTGTTAAAGGTCAGAAGACAGGACTTAAAGGCAGTGACAGAGGTGGGTGTAGTGGCGCACATTTGCAATCTCAGCACAGGAGGTTGAGGCAGGAGAATTGTAGTTAGTTCAAGGCCAGCCGGGGCTACATGGTGCATTCAAGGCCAGCCTGAACTGCACAGGAAGACCCTGTCTCAAAAAACCAAAAACCAAACCAATCCCCAAAAAGGCAATGCTAGAACTTAAGTCCAAGAAAAAATTGGGGAAATAAGGCTGCCAATACCTGACTTTAGAAGTAGTTCATCTACACTGGTAGAGTGGTATATGCCTGGGAGAGGTTAAGGTAGGGGATTGCCAAGTTCGAGTTCTGAATAGGCAACTCAGAGGGACCTTGTCACAAAGTGAAGTAAAATAAAATAAAATAAAATAAAATTTAAGAAAGAAATGGATTGAAGACACCAGTTAGTAGTGAACCACTCCTGAGTTTGATTCTCAGTCTTGAGGTGGGTGAGAAGTAGACCATGGACAGCCAGCATATGAACACCAGCATTCTGATGAAGCGCAGATTAAGGACCTCTACCTGGCACCCGCATACAGCTTCTGCCCAGCCAGAAGATGAATGCAAGACTTATACTTCTTTTATTAATTAAGAGTCATGCATGACAAGATCACTTCCTATGTCCTTCAGATACCACTTTCTAGAGCTCCTCATTTCATAAATAAAATTGAGGCACAGGTCAAGAATTTGCTCTTTCATATTCTAATACCCATCAAATGTGGATCCAGTCTTTGCTCATATAAATCAGCATTCCCCCCCATTTATCTATAAATGTTACAATCAGAAATCTACAAACAAAAAGCAACATTAATATACATATCCAGCACTAAAGTACACACCACAAATTTGTGCAAACAATACTAATCTACTCTGTTTAATAAAAAGCAACAAATGTGGTGGTGACTGCACTTGTAACTTGATAAAAATAGGAACTTAGCAAGGGAAGTAGATGCTCAATGGCCAGAATGACCCACTGAAAGAAAGCTGAGCTGGTTGTTTCATTTTTAAGCAGGGCTTTACCAAGGGTGGGTGGGACAGCAACTATTGTCAAATATCTGAATATACAGTACCTGTATTTGAGAGCTGAAAGAGTTCCAAACTGGATAGCAAAATAAATCATGTCATGGACAGGTGTGGAAGTTTTAATTAAGAGATCGGACAGATGCCAATCATTTAATTACCAAGTTTCTACAAATAGCAAAGGTGACAATTTTGAGGAGGGAAGGCTGAATTTCATGATTAAAGAATACAGAATAGTGTAAAAGATTCCTGAAAGGAGTTTCTTTACACTGGTTTTTCTGCAATAAATAAACAATGGAATAATGTTGATGGTATGCTATTCAGAGTAAGGATAGAAAGTATCCAGTTACTACAAAAGAATCCCTATCAGAAAGAATCTGCATATTGGCTGACAGATTTTGAACTTATCACCTTAAAAATACAAGTAATATTTACAAAAATAACTTCTTCCTCCACCCCTTTTTCTCAGGAAAAGACACCATACTGGGATCTATTTAGTTGTTTCTACCATTTTCAAAGCTTGTGTACAAGGCCCTCAAGTGGGGAGCCAGGTGAGCAGCACCAGAACTCTGCGAATAACCCTGAGTGCAGGTTCCAGTCTGTACTCTCCTTTCTACCTGTGGCCTCTTGGGAAAGGCATTCTCCTTCATTCTGGTTCATAGTCCGTGCCACCAACCTCTCAAGTTTGTTGTACACAGGGTATCAAGTGAAGTAAAATACATGTAAAAACATCTTATGCCACATAAGCATTTTAACTTAATTTGCTGAACAATTTTTCAATATCTACTATGTACCAAGCACTGCTGAAACAAGATGATTCTCACCTGAGGAACTAAGTACACAACAGAAAAAAACGAGTAAGCAAGTAATTACCATATAAGGTACTATGAAAGAAGCACAACCAAGCAACTAACAGGGCACCAAGGAACAAATATTACATGACTTGCTCAAAAATGCTTACCAAGTACTAAAGTAGGAGATAAACCCAAGCCTTCTGATGTTAAACGTATCTTTCACCCAGACTCTCAATACCACAGTGTACTCAATGTCAAAAATTGTGATACTGTTTTATGTGTTTGATGCAAAAATCGCCGCTCTTTCAAGACAAGAGCCAACCTAATGTCAAAGACCTTGCGCGTCAATTTTGCTCGGACCAACGGCAGAGAGAGCTTCTTTCTTACTTACATCAGTGCACAGTCAGATCACATAATGGATACAGGAAGCCCACGTTCCTCTCCAGAGGCACTACGTGTTGGGAGAAGTCCTTTGGCTGTAATGTTTATTAGCAATGTTTTCCAAGCGCTAACTCCTAGTCTGGAGTGCTACACACAACAATTTTTAACTATTTCACTGTAGTTGAAAAGGGAATTACCACTAAATCTCTAAAAATATTACCATATATCAGACAATCACACCTTTTGAAAATTACTACTAACACCTGGCATCATATGAACTGAAAATAGGCAGTACAGATTTTACCTAAATAACTCCCAAACTTTTTAGAAAGAGATTTGAGATTGATTCTTGAAATAACTCAATCTGGAGAAAAATCGACTTTCTTGCTATATTCTTATCCAAAAAACCATTTTTCTTGTTCACTGAAAAACCCTTCTTAAGGTTTGGGACCTCAGGATATACAGGTATTTAATTTTTACTTATGCATAATTTAAACCACAGTGTACCTCGTCGCTGCCAAAATGCAAACTGATATGAATAGTAAAAAAAAAACAAACAAAACACCTCTGTGAGACTTTCGTTACAAACCAAGTGGTGCCTCAATCTACAAAAACAGAGCGCTAAAGCAACTCGAACTTAATTTAATGACAAGTCAGTAAATTCTCCTTGGACCTGGCTCTTTGCCGGCCAGAAAATGCCCCGTGCCCAGCGCCCGGGGCAGGGAGGCGTCGCAGCAAACCCTGAGAATTCCCACTCAGCGCTCCTCTCCTGCTCCCCTAAGAGGCGGTAAACCCGCCGGGCTCCCTCCCTCGTGACCGTCCGCCGCGGCAGCCCGAGGCCGTGCAGCGGCGGCGCCGGGGTGGGGAGACGCTTCCCGCGCAGCAACGGGAGGGAGGGGGGTGCGCGCCGAGGCCTACGCTCTCCGGGACACTCCCGTCCCTGGACACAAACTAAGTTCTTGGGAAAACCGAGCGGTGGGGCTAATACCTGAGGTATGTGAGTGACTCCCGCGCTAGAGTCCCGCGGCGCGATCTTAAAGTGGAGAAACAGACTCCTTCCACCCACACCGGCCACCGAGCTTTCTCAGCGTGCGCAGCGCTCAACCCACCGCACAGGCGGAACCGCCTCACACTGCGCATGCGCTGAGGAAGGGGCCTCTCTTCATCGCTGATCATAGAGTCTGGGTCCTCCAAGAGTTAGGTTGACTGTCAGTTGTAGGAAGATGTGAAAAATACGTTTTCGTACTATCCTTATATTTTACCAAGGAACCCTGGAAACATGGGTAAGAAACAGGACTCCGATTCCTTATTTCTCAAGAATAAGTTCTTTCAAACTTTTAGTTCACCATAAGATGGCGCTGTGAAAAATTAAAATGGAGGAAAAGAAGGAACGTACGTCTTCCTTCAGTCGGCCAGCGTGGGCAGTAATTTGCGCAGCCGCAGACTGACGGGCGGGGGAGGCGGGGGGAGGGGAAAAGATATGGGGCTGGGCGGGGCGGTGAACCGGAATTCCGCAGTGCGCGCGCCTCAATATCCGGGCATCACCTTCCTCCAACCCGCCGGGACAACCGGAAGCGGAAGTGAAAAATCGGTGTTCCCGCAGCTTCTTAGCAACGCGCGGTCAAGTGACCCGATCAGCTGACTCCGGTGGAGGACTGGGTTGTGGCGGCCAGTCCTGGAGCTTTTGCGGCCACGATTGCCCGAGCCGCACGGTCATCGTCAGAATGTCGGGCAAAGACCGGATTGAAATCTTCCCCTCGCGAATGTAAGTAAAGTCGAGTGGCGCTCGGAGTTTCTGCAGTGCCTGCCCGGAGCGGTTGTTCCACACCCGGGGCCACAAGCGAGGCGAGCGAGGCGCGGAAGTTTCCTAGGCTGATGCCGAGCTCTCCCGAGGGACTTGTCGGGAGTTCAAGGCCTGGCTCCCTTTCGCTCGCGTGCAGGTTCCTCCAGCGTGAAGCGGACTGCGCAGCGCGGTCTCAGCCCGGAGGAGAAGGCGCCCGGCCTGCCGGCGTCGGTAGAGCTCGGCGCCCTCCCCGGAGCCCATGGCTTAGGGGTGGGAGGGAAGAGCTGGTGAGGTTTGCTAACTCTTCTGAGAGGGGAAGTTTGCTGTGATGCGAAGCAGGTAGAAGGCCCCTGAGTCAAAGCGGGATTGAACCAGGTTATCGTAACCTGGGCGCCGCATTCCCGTATTTTCCAAGATCTCATCAGGTGTCCCCTGCCGTTGGGAGAGGTCTGTGCATTTCTGAAGCATTCCATTTGCACTGTGGCCGCTGTGACTGCACCTTTTATGACTTCTATGATCACTCAACACATTTATTTGTTGGTTATCTTCCCCTCCCACCAGTCGCCAGGCCCCTCCAGGTTGAGAGCGTCTTGATTATTAATCCCTAGAAGATCCACAAAGGGTGTTTCTTGAGTGAACCCATGTCTTAGAATCTGCTCAGTTGTGGGCTGCCTTTCTCTTGTGGCCTGAAATCTTTGTCAGGAGAAATGACGGCACCACGGTGGCCCTTTTGTAAAGAAAATTGGGACGTTTTCTCAGGTGTGTTTAGGAGTTTGTGAGATTGCTGGGCACCAGCACCGGGGAGGCAAAAGCAAGAAGATTGTATTGAGTTCGCGGTCAGCCTGGGCTACATAGTGAGTTCAAAGCATAAAGTCACTTTTTTGGTTGCTTGTCGTTTTTGAGAGTTTTATTGCACAGTTCAGCTGATCTTGAACTTTGGAGCCCAGGATGGACTCAAACTCTGTGTAATCCTCCTGCCTCAGCCTTCCCAGTGCTGGGATTATAAATGTGTGCCACCACTCCTGGCTCACTGACTTTCCTAAGCGCCTTATCCTGCAAACTAGTTGTGAAGATGGTACCTGTGAAATAGATCTGGACCTCCCTGGGAGATTCCAGACCTCTCAGCCTATAGTGACTCCCTCCAAACCTACACTGAAAGACAAATGAATTCTAACATGGTTTCTAGCAGCATAAATTTGCTTCCCAAGGACACCCAGCTCTCCATTGAAATGACTGCTGGAGATGTAGCTCAGTGGCTGATCACTTGCCTAACGTGCTTGAGGTCTACTACTCAATCCCGAGCATCTCACACACGAAATAAAAAAAAAAAAAATCTGCACTGCAAAAGTAAACAACAAAAATGCCTGTCTGAAAAACGTCAAAGCTAGCAGAATTAAATATTCCTTCCATCCAATTCGTGATTGATGGATCCCTGACCTCCCTATCTTAGAGCCCTAACTATGAAGGGTTTGCATTTGTGAGTGTATGCCTGCTAGAACTCAACAGTGTCTCTCCAGGGTCTGAGGGCCCCTGAGGAAGAGGACCTGATCTCTGTACCTGGCTTAGATGTATTTCCACTGGCTGCCCCTTTGTAAGTTTTCCTCTGCTGACTCTGCTTGAGGTCCCTTCCTTGGCTCTGCCTTTCAAACACCCAAGCTGCTGCGCAAATCCAAAAGGAGCTCAGCTCTTTGCCCTCCTGCCAGTTGTTACTGAAGAAAATCTCTTTCCATCATTTTAGCTAATGTTTGGTCATTTTACCTGTTTCAGTAGTCAGAATGTTAGCATGTTTTTATTTCTATCTGGGAACTTTTAATTTGAGGCTAAGAGGTGAGAATGAACTTCCTTTGGCTCAGACAAGAAATGATAGGTTTGCGAAGGCAAAAACCGCTATTTGAGAGCTCTGAGCTTGCTAACTGAGAGGAAAGTCAGGTGCTGGAAATAGATAATTTTTCCCACAGCCCAGGAGCAGGTTCTTTGTCATGGAGTCAGATGACCTTGATTCAGCTGGAAACAGCCATGTCCTCGCTGAAGGCCAAACCTTTTATGGTATGGAAAAGCAGCTCTGAAACAAGTAAAATGACAGGTTTTAAAAGTCTTAAAGCCAGGGCATGGTGGTACATGCCTGTAATCTGAGCATTTGGAGGCTGAGGCAGGAGGCTTGCAGCCTGGGCTGCATATTGAGTTCAGGGCTTGTGTGAACCACATAGGGAGACCCTGTCTCAAAAAAATTTTGCACATTTGATAGAGGTGCCACCTAAGAAGAAACTAAAAGTAGAGTCAGTTTGAACAACCTGTTAACCTATACAAACTAAACTTGCTGAAATCTGCAGCACTACAATTTTACCTAAATTTGACCCAACTCAGAGTCCACCTTCAGGTGTGTAGTGTCAACAGCCTGGTGTGTTACCTGTACACAGTTGGGCTGGGTGGCTCCTGCTCCTGCTGGGCTGAACCCCCCCCCACACACACACACTGCTGAACTGCGGACTTGATTTAGGCAGGTTGGAGTCAGAAATCTGGTTCAAATTTCTGCCCTACCTTTTCTTCACTGAATGACTGTGAGAAGGTTCTTTCGATTATCTGGGCCTCAGTTTTCTAATTTTTCTTTTTTTCAGTAGCTCTAGGGATTGAACCCAGGGCCTTCCCACAAAGCTTGTGATTCCTCCTACCTCAGACCCCATGGGCAATCATTACTGTTTTCCTAATATTAAATTTAGGCTTCAGTTTCTTAAATTTAGGTTTCTTAAATTTCATCCATGGAATTGCCTTAGTTAGCACTGTGGTAAAAGATTTCAGTACTATATATGTAATCCAGAATGTGGTTGAAAGGTTTATTAATATGTGCTATTTTACAGTTGATTATAACACTATCATGTTGAAGACATATCTACTTAAATCACTATAAAAGGCTAGGTTATATGTAATTTATTGTTTTTATTGTTGACTTTTATTATCAGAATATATATATGTCTTTTTTTTTTTTGCAGAACCAGGGATTGAACTCAGGCCCTTGCACTTGCCAAGGAAGCGCTTATTCCACTGAGCCATCTCCCCAACCCCATATATATGTCTTTTTGAGACAGGGTCTTGCTATGCAGTTCAGGCTGGCCTTGAGCTCACTTTGTAGCTCAGGCTGGTTTTCAACTTGCAAAGATCCTTTTGCCTCAGCCTCCCAAGTGCTAGGATTAATGGAATGCAGCACCACACCTGGCTGGAATGGAGCTTCTGATGGGGAAAAGGTTGAAATAAAATAAGACTTCACTCTGAAATAAGCTTGTTATTTTGGGGTATTATTTATATATGCCATTTATTACCTAGAATCATTTACAAGTTGATTCTGTGATTGATATTAGGTATTGATCACCAACACAATTATATGCCACACTGATTATAGAAAGAATAATAAAACACAAAAAGTATAAAAGAATGCAGTAGTAAAAACTCCAGTTTTTGACTTAGCCCTGTTTCTATGACTCCTTGTAAAACTCCATCTGTATAAGCACAGCAGTTCCTTACTTTAGGTAGGACAGTGCAATATAGGAAGCACATCTGGACTGACTTTCCTCATTTTTTTTATGACTGGATACCATTCCATTATATGGCAAACCATGATTTAATAGTTTAATTGTTTCAGCCTTTTTGCTCCTACAAATAAGACTGGTGTGCTGGGGAGAGAGCTCAAGGCCATAAGCACCTGCCTGGCAAGCGCAATGTCCCAAGTTTGATCCCTGATGCAGGAAAAAAAAAAAAAAAGACTGGAGTGTTAATCTTGTACATGTTTTTGTGTAATATGTGGAAATCTATAGGAACAATTCCTCATAGTGGAAATGCTGGTCCTGAAGGTGATTATGTTTTCAGATTTTTGTTTGCTGTGTTGGGCATCAGACCCAGGGCCTGTACTTGTTAGACAAGCTCATCCCTACTGAACTAAACCCACAGCGCCCCAAATTTTGGTATATATTAGTGGGTAAATCTTTTTGTCATTAATACTACATTTCTAATGGATCTAAAATATTGCACAAAGGTTTTACTTACAAATCAATTAGGAATGTAAAGTAGACTGCATTAAGATAAGGCTCCTGATGTTTATTTAATGAGTCCTCCCAGATGTTGATTCCAGAATGGTGTGGTAAGTAAATGAGCAACTTGTTGTTTATGGAACACTGAGGAGAAATTTGTAATACTGAGGTACCAGAGAATCTCTGCCTACCTTCATTGAAAGGCTAAACAACAACTTCAGCTTGAGGACAGACGCACCTCTGAATCCCGAGCCCGGAAGTGAGCGGGTGGAGCACTGAGGTCCCTCCTGTTGCTTCTGTAGGGCGCAAACCATCATGAAGGCACGGCTGAAAGGGGCGCAGACTGGCCGGAACCTCCTGAAGAAAAAGTCGGATGCCTTAACGCTGCGCTTTCGACAGATCCTGAAGAAGATCATCGAGGTCGGGTCAGCCCGTTAAGTGCCATATTCATTTGTGACCTACTTGTCACCTTCCCTGACTGTCTCAAGGAAAACCCATTGTGGCTTTGGCTGGGCCCCAGGATTGAACCCTGAGCATTAAGTATGCGAAGTCCATGTTCTACCGCAGGATCATGGCCAGGCCCTGATTTTTCTGTTATTTTAATTGATTTTTTTTTCAAAAGTAATTGGTGTGTGTATTGGGGGAAGGTCCTGAGTTCGATCCCTGGCACCACAAAAAAAAAAAAAAAAAGTAATGGTATTACAATAAGCATAGCTAGCCCTGGGCAAGTGCTGGCATGCAGACTGACCCCTCAGTTTAGAGGGGCCCTGTTTTCGCCCCTGTGGTGCCTCTTAGTCCATCTCTGTGATAGCACATGTGGCTGTGTGCTGTTTTCTTGGTTGTTTCTGCACTGCAAAGTGAGTTCCGGAGAGCAGGAATGTTGTCTCTGCCTGCAGTGGAGCCGTCGCCCAGGCTGGCCCCAGGCTTGCTGGGCAGCCCGATGTGGGCTTGAACTCACATCCCCCTTCCCCCTTACTCAGCCTCTTGACTGCTGGCTTTACAGGAGTGCCACCATATTTTTTTTTTTGTGGAACTGGGGATTGAACTCAGAGCCTTGTGCTTGCCAGGTAAGTGCTTATTTTACTGAGCCATCTCCCCAGCCCCAACCCAGCTTTCTTTTTTTTTTTTAAATTTATTTATTTATTTGTGTGTGTGTGTGTGTGGCCAGCTCAGCCCACCAGGGGGCGGGGCTGGCTGGCATGTGGTGCTGGGGGACTGAACCGCAGTCCCTGTGCTTTGCTTAGCTTGTTCTAAGTAGGTGCTTTAGACCACTGAGCCATCTCACCAGCCCCCAACCCAGCTTTCTTAGTAGGTTTTAATGCAGTGTTTTTTATTTTTGTTTTTTTCTGGTAATGATGTGTGAATGCTGAGTTACATGAAAAAAGCAAAGGTTCTTTCATATTCCTCTTTTCCACCTGGTGATCCTTCTCTCATCTCCCAGAGGTAGTTTTTCATACTTTGGTTATGACTGCTTCGCCTCCTGTTGCGGCAGTGTGTACACAAAGTGCTGCATTTGTAAGGCACCCACCAGGAGGATTGTGTGTGCCGTAGCAGTAATAACCACACAAGGTGCTGTGCCGTTTCCTGCCCTACTCTCTTCCACGGCAGAACGCAGCCAGCTTTCTGCGCCAGCACCAGAAGGTCTGTCCCATTCTTTCCCCTTACTGCTGCATGTCCTCTGTGTGGACAGTGGAGTTTGGTTGCAATTCGCTTGATGAATGTCTGTCCAGTCTGTCTCAGTTACTCTTCTCTTGTTGCTGGGACAAATACTCAACACTTAAAATTAGGGAAGGAAAGGTTTATTTAGCTCACAGTTACTGGAGGTTTCAGTCCATGCTCAGCTGGCTCCAACGCGGAGCAGCACATGGCAACGAGCAGCCTTTCATGGCGGCGGCAAAGAGCAAGACAGCCAAAGGGAGGTGTACTAGCAGCAGTGGCCACAGAGAGCAAGTCTGTCTCTCTTAAGTTGCATTCTGGAGGTCTGCCCCAGGCCGGGTGTGGTACTCACACCTGTAATCCCAGTGACCATAAGTTAGTCAGTCACAAACTCTGGAAGTCTGCCCCATGACTGCATGAGGCTTTAGGGGAACAGCTAGACACAAACCATAACATAGTCTTAACAAGTTTTTGGTAGGGAAAACTGAAAGTTCTGTGTGTGCTAACATTTCTCTAGAAAAGAATTTTATAGCCTGTTCTCTTTGCTCTTTTTTTTTTTTTTTTAATATATTTAGTACAGGATCTACTGGGTCTCACTATACAGATCATACTCATAGTGATCCTCCTGTTTTCAGTCTCCCAAGCACTGAAATTATAGTTGCGCACCACGACTCCCAGTCTTACAGTCTGTTCTCTTGATCCCAGGAGAAAGATATGTTGTGAATTTTACGCCTGTTGTGTAAAGATATGCACATAAATATATGTAACGTACTAGCGGTTGAGCACAGGGGTGCTGTACTGCGGAGCACAGCTATAGTGCCCCCCCTTTTTTGAAACAGTCTCTGTATGTAGTTGAGGCAATCTTTGAACTCACTATGTAGCCCAGGTTAGCCTTGAATTAGTTTTATACTTTAAAACAATTTTTTTTTTGCCAGAACAGCTGGGTGTGGTGGTACACACCTGTAATCCCAGCACTCAGGAGGTTGAGGCAGGAGGATTGCTGTGAGTTTGGGGCCAGCCTGGGTTATATACTGAGACCTTGTCTCAAAAAAAAACAAACAACAACAACAACAAAAAAAACCCCAGAAATTAAAAAGAAAACCCAACCAAGGTTCTGATAGATGACCTAGGCTGCCCTTGAACATGCAGTGTTCCTCCCCCAGCCCCGAGCTCTTGGGATTGCTGAGTACGGGCACCAGCATGTCCAGCTACTTTTTGTTAACAAATTTTCCCCGAATTATTATACTAATTTGTGCTCTTACTGAATAATATACAAATGGACTTCTTTTTGTCTAACTGAGCATTAGTATATGTGCTTTTATCAATCTGTTGGACTAAAATTGGTCTCTTAAATTTGCACTATTTATTTATTACTTCTGAGGTTGAGTAGCTTATTGCATTTAGTACCTGTAAATTCATTTTATTGGTGAATTTCTTTGTAAAGAAGTGTTCTTTGGTGCTAGGTGTGGTGGTGCACACCTGTAATCTCAGCAATCAGGAGACAGAGGCAGGAGGATTGCTGTGAGTTTGTGGCCAGCCTGGGCTACGAAGTGAGCTCAAGGCCAGCCTGAACTGCCAGTGAAACTTGTATCAAAAAAGACAAAAATAAATAAATAAGGAAAAAGAAGTTCTCTTTTGTTAATATTTTTTGGTTAATGTGTAAAACACTAAAAATATTTTCTCCATATTATTGGATTTGATTTTTTTTTAAAAAAACCTTAATTTTGTGTGATCAAATAAAATCTTTATTCTTTTGATGTGAGACAGGATCTCCCTGTCTTGCCTAGTCAGGCTTCAGACTCCCTAGCCGAGGCTAATCTTGAACTCAAGATCCTCCTGACTCAGCCTCTTGCGTACTGGGAATTATTTAGAGACAGAATTTCACGTTGTTGCCCAGGCTGGTCCAAATTCCTGAGTACAGGTAATTCTTTTGCTTAGTCCCTAAATGACTGGACCACTGCACTACGCTTGCAGATGTTTTTTTCTTAAATCTTTCTTTAGTACATCTGGATCTTTTTCTTTTGTCTGGGGGAAATTGTGTAAGACAGGGACTTACCTTCATCATTTTGTAAATGGATAGGTTGGTCTCTTTATTCTGGTCTCTCTGTTGTACTAAATTCCCACATAGATCTAGGCTTTTTTCTTGATTTTTGTTTTTGTTTTTGTTTTTGTTTTTAGAGGCAGGGTCTTGCTGTATAGTTTAGACTGGCCTTGAACTCACTGTATAGTGCAGGCTGGCTTTGAAGTGATCCTCTTGCCTCAGCCTTTCTAGTGCTTCGATAGGTGTGCACCACCAAGCCAGGCTCTGGGCTTATTTCTGATCCTTTTGTTCTGTTTCTGTTTCTTATCTGTCCTCAATCAAATGTATTTCCTTTTTGTAGGTGTAGACTTTTAATACTTGGTAAGCCAACTCTTACCCACCTGACCCAATATTCTCCTTTTTACAAAAAAAGATTGGATATTCTCAAGCATTACATTTTCTAACTTTATTTTAGCATCATTATGCCATTGGGATTTTAACTCATAATTGCATTGGATTTCAGAAGGTAATGCGAGCAGATCCACGTACCCATTCAGGAATATGATAGCTCTGTGGGTGAAGAACAGATTTTCTACTTATTAATGAATTTATTTATTTATTTATTTATTTGTGTGTGCGTGCGTGCGTGCGCGTGTGTGTGTGTGTGTGGCCAGCTCAGCCCACCAGGGGGCGGGGCTGACTGGCATGTGGTGCTGGGGAATTGAACCGCAGTCCCTGTGCTTTCCTTAGCTTAGTTTGTTCTAAGTAGGTGCTTTAGACCACTGAGCCATCTCACCAGCCCAATGAATTTATTGTAATGTTTTATTTGATTTACCTTTTACTGGGTATTGAACCCAGTGCCACTGAGCTGTATCCTTTCTGTTTTACTTACTAAGCTCGGTTTTGGAGCATTGTTAGGGACCACAACCAAAACTGTTCAAAATTGGAGATTTTTATTTTAGCATTTATGAACCTGCCTGCTACTAGCATAAAACACTACCCTAAATGCTGACGGATATTGAGAGCACAGAAGAGGAAAGACCGACACTACAGCACTTGCTGACCCCGCTGTGCCCTGCTTTTGTAGACCAAGATGCTGATGGGTGAAGTGATGAGGGAGGCCGCCTTCTCCCTGGCCGAGGCCAAGTTCACTGCAGGTGACTTCAGGTAGAAACGCCCACCCACCCTGGTGCTGTTCCTAATCTGGGGGCTTTCGGGTGCCTTGTTACAGGAATTGTATATTCTACTTGTAAATGTGTGTGTTACAGACAGTGATGGAGTGGTAAGGAGGGCCCCGGGGCAGCTGCCCTGCCTGCTTCCTGCACCCCCCGGCGTCTTCTCCCCCCCCCATTCCTCTGCCCTCCCACCTTAAACAAGTATTCATCCTTGTTTTCATGCAGATGTTCCCTTCTCAAGGGTGCTGTGATAGCCTTTCTCCTAATGCTGGATCTTTGGTGTGGATTTTCCGTTTTTTTGAATATTAGACAAGATAGATTAAGCATCTTAATGTCTTTTATTGTATTATTGGGATAATTTTGAAGACTAGAATCCACGAATTAATTATTTTCAGAAAACAAAAATTTTGTATACCTGAAGGCTTTTTGGTGGCCTTCATTTTCATTACCTTTACAAGAGTGGGAGAGGAAGAGAGTGAGAAGAAGAAAACCCCAGAAAACAGACCACAAGGAAATTGCTGCGTCTGGGGCAGCTCGCTGCCCACCCCCGTAAGCCTGTGTCCTGGGAAGCGAGCTGTCTTGTGTCTTCTGCGAGTGCGAGTCCTGATTCATTTCAGCAGCATAGAATCCATTATTTAAAAGGCGAGATTTCTGGAGCTTTTGTGGCAGCCGTGTGTGCTTTACAACACGCACATGGTGCTCTGCATGTCGTGTGCGTTAGTGTCTCTCTGCGTACCATGGGGGGACGGAACGTTGCTGTTTTCAGCATAAGTGAAGTTCTTTTCTGAAGTCACATGGCTAGGTAAGGACAGAAGTAAAAGTTGTCTTCTGGATTTTTAATTTATTCTGGGTGGTACTGGGGCGTGAACCTGGTGGCCTGCAACTGCTAGGCAAGCACTCTGCCCCTGAGCCATGCTGCCAGACCGTTTTAAATTTTATTGAGACAGAGTCTCACTGAGTTGGCATCAGCCTTGGGCTCCTCCTGCCTCTGCCTCCTAGCGAGGATGGCAGCCGAGCACTGCCACGCTTGGCTGATCTCAGGATTCTGATTTGAATGTTCTTTCCCAGTGATGCAATTTCTCCTTACGTAGGAGAATACGATAGCTCTGTGGGTGAAGAACCAATTTTCTCCTTATTAATGCATTTATTTTAATGTTTTATTTGGCTTACCTTTTACTGGGTATTTGTTTGTTGAAACTAGTGAACGTTAATTTTTGCCAATACAGTGGGCTGTTTTGCCAGTGAAGGAGGAAATCGGGAGTGTATATGTGGTTTTTGAGTTGCTAGTGGGAAGGCTATAGGGTGGTTATGGGAAAGTCACTGTGTTTTGTAAGAGTTGAGGCAGAAGGCAGATGACACCTTGAATACCAGTGTAATCCACTGAACAGCAAACCTAGAAGGAGCAGTTTCTCCAGATTATGCTAGCAGAGCGTGAGCTGTTAACTTACCCCATCCATGGAAACTCAGTCTCCGCTCTGTGTGCTACTTCCTTGCTTTCTTACGGCGGATTCAACGTTGTTCATTCTGTGCCCTGGGAGGCCCTCCTTAGACAGCAGTGAGCTTTCTTTTCTGAAAGAGCACAGTTATCGAAACCCTGAGCCAGGCTGCCTCGCTCATGTGAAACTGTCCATGGGTCCCTGTGGGCTTACTCCTAAAGTGATGGCTAAACGAAAGCTCTGTCTTCTGCAGCACCACAGTTATCCAAAATGTAAACAAGGCTCAAGTGAAGATTCGGGCGAAGAAAGATAACGTAGCAGGTAAGGTGCCACCCCCTAGAACCCTTGAGGAGAGTAGATGACAGTTTAAAGTCAGCCGTTTATGCCCCAGTATCTGATGTCCCAGTTTCTCTTGTCTAGTAGAACACTGTGATTGGCTTTGTTTGTTGAAATCATTAGTAGCCAGGGCCTTACTGTTTAGCATAATCAGATTTTTTAATAGAAGCAAAGCATTTAGCAAATGCTTTTTGAAATTCATTGAGTGGAGCCAGTTACATTTTCAGATGTAAGCTCTTGACTTTTGAGGATAAAAAAAACAACACAGGAGACAGTGAATAAGAAGCAGCACTTCAGGGCCGCGTTTTGTTGGTGGTGATACCTGTCTGCTTCTGCATTTAACAGGTGTTACTTTGCCGGTATTTGAACATTACCATGAAGGAACCGACAGTAAGTGTGAAGCTCCCTGTCTGTGTCTGTCTCTGCTTCCCCTGTAAGTGAAAGGTGCCCTGGCAAGCGGCTCGGTCAGACGTCTTGGCAGCCAGAAGTCCACATTAGGCACTTTTTTACCTGCTGAGGTCACAGCAGGTAATCAGTTAATCAAAAGGTCCTTTGACAGGAGTTCATAGATCTATATATATCTTAGAATATTTTAATGGGCAAGTAGATCATTGTATAGTCACTTGCTGTTTAAGAGATAAGTGTTTTCTTCAATTATGAATTCATTGGTTATACTTTCGTTTTTCTGCATAAGTAAAACCCATACTACATTTTCAAAATAAAATTTCTAGCTTGTATCTTTTTAAAAGTAGAGTAAGATGTTTTATACTGTGTTGCAGTCTGAATGCTGACTCTTTTTAGATTTTTACAGCCACATCCTGATTATTTGTAATTGTCTCATCCATTCCATTCCTAATTTGGCAGCAGTTTTGCCCAAGTCTTTGTTTCCCCTGGAAACAGTAACACTCTTTGTCCTGGCCTTGTAGCGCATTGGCTCCTGTAGTGCCATCCCCCAGTGTCACATGTTAACAGTTTCATTGCTCTGTGAGCAGCAGGCCGGTGGCATTTCCAGAGGAAGGGGGCATCAGCTCGGAGAGCGAGTAGTGCGGTGCAGGTTTGCTAAGTGTCTCTTCTGAGGCTGGGCCTGTCGCTCAGCGGAAGAGGCCTGCTTTGCCTATGCGGGGTCTGGGGTCCCCTGGCCGGCGCTGGCACATTAGTCTCTTGTGGAGACTGTTCCACGTCCCCCTTGCCGAGCCAGGTGCTCAAGAACTTGGGGTGCATTTTCCAGCTTAGTGGATGTGTCTGTGCTTGGTAGTTCTCGGCTTATCTTCCTTTGGGGAGTTTTCTGTGAGAAGATTATTGACCATTTACAAATGTTGCCTGACTGGTTCTTTCAGGCTATGAGCTGACTGGTTTGGCCAGAGGTGGGGAGCAGTTGGCAAAGCTAAAAAGGAATTATGCCAAGGCCGTGGAGCTGCTGGTGGAGCTGGCTTCCCTGCAGGTGAGTGGCGGGGCGCAGGCGGCTTGGCCGGGCCCGAGTGAACCGTGCCTCTGCTTGGCGGTTCTGAAGCGGTGCCCCCGTGCTGTTAGCGCTGCTTCCTGTTACTAGCAGAATGCACGTGCAGGGTCACTGCACTAAGGGAGAGCGGCAGCAGTCAACACTGGGTGGAGTGCTGCATGCTCATGAAAGCACTTTCCCCCTTTGTGGCCAGTTAAGATGTAGCTAGGTCATTGGGTCATTGTGTATCTTCATTTAGGTGAGCCAGAAGTAAACAGAGTATAATAGCACAGAAATTGTGTTAGCTGTATGGAAATCTCACATGGATTTTTTTCTTAAACATGCTGAAAAGGTGCAAAGTATACTTAATATTTCTACAGGTGCTGAGTGGAGCCAAGTGAGCAGAGCATGGTTGGGAAGCCTTTGTGCTTATTTTATTAATTTGCTTTCTTACTGTAGACTTCCTTCGTTACGCTGGATGAAGCTATTAAGATCACCAACAGGCGTGTAAATGCCATCGAGCACGGTGAGTCTCGCTGCCCAGCGGTGCTTTGTGACTGATGGCGGTCCCCTCCACACTCACTTGCAGCTGCTAGGACGCAGCTCCACGCTCCTCAGAGGCCAGAGCACCGGCGCCCTGTGTCAGTAGCCCTGGACGCAGGGTGAAGTGAGGTCCGTGCCTCAGCTTTGGGGGGGTGACATGGGCTATCTCAGTCATTTCCGGGTACTAGTAACAATTGGAAAGGTTGGAAACTTTCTCAGGTTTACTGTTTTCTTTAATTCTTTACAGCAGTTGAACAGTGTGTGAACATTTTGGTTTGCAGACAGAAACATTTGGCAAAAGTTTGTTTTTGTGCGAACTCTGTATCCAGTGTCTTTTCCAGAATCATGGATGACTGGATAGTATTAAAATTGCTGGGATCGGGGAGATGGCTTGTGGAATAAGCGCTTCCCTGGCAAGTGCAAGGGCCTGAGTTCAATCCTCAGTTCTGCCAAAAAATAAATAAAATAAAATAAAATAAAATTGCTTTTTACTCACACTGTTTCTGTGAAAGAAATATTTATTCAGTTCTTAGGTTAAGAAAGGAGCAAAATTTGAAGGGAATTCCCTCTGAGGCTCTGTTGAGATTATTCAGTTATCTCATTTTTAAAAAATTCAGAATCACGTATGTATGTATTTTTGTATGTATTATATTTTTTGGTACTGGGGAATCTGACCCAGGGCCATGCTCATGTAGGCAGGTGTTAACAGCTACATTCCCAGCCCAGAAAATCCTTTGACTGCTTGTTAGTGCCAGGCTGCACCTGGAGCCGTGAGCCCAACACAGTGGGTTAGGCTGGCAGCTCTCACCTTCATGGGAGTACATTCTAGAAGCAGAATAGGCAAATTCCAGGTAGAGTAGAACCCGGTGACTCACATAAAACTTAGAAGATTCTGTCTGTCCTATTTTCTTCTTCATGGGTTGCTGAACAGCATTGGGTCTTCTGTGGTCTGCTGTGTTACTGCGAGTGGAAGAGCCCCTAGAAGCACATGTACCAAAGTATTGACAGTAGTTACTTGTGGATCGTTGGATTAGTCTTCAGTTTGTTTTTGTCTCTTCCAACTTGTTCATATTCAGTGTATGTTAGCTTTATAATTAGAAAAGATAAGTAACTGTTACACAATGAGCACTGTTAATTTGAAATGAGGCACTGTGACGTACTCATGTCTGTTCTTTTAAATTCTAGTTATTATACCTCGGATTGAACGTACCCTTGCTTACATCATCACAGAGCTGGATGAGAGAGAGCGAGAAGAATTCTACAGGTTGGTTGAAATCAGCAGCTGGTGATCTGTGTGTTTTTGTTTTCCATATTCCACGGGCTAGATTTGCTGCATGACTAGTTGGGTTATGTGGCTTAGAATTAGCAGTTTGTGTTTTATTTTGATAAATAAGAAGTAAATACTGCTGTAGTTGCCTCCCACCTGCAGTTTTGCTTCCCATGGTTTCAGTTCTTGTGGTCGACTGAGGTCTGAAAACATTGAGTGCAAAGTTTGAGAAGTGAGGAGTTCTCAGTTGCACACTGTTCTGAGTAGCAGCAGGTCATGCTCCTTTGGGAGGGGCTCATCGTCCTGTGCAGCTGTCTGTCCTGCGTGTGCCACCCCTGCCAGCCACTTGGGCCCTGTCTCAGTTCTCACACCACCACCGACTGTGTGCCTGTCACTATAATCCTGTGGTGGTGCTGGCAGTCCAGATATGTCAGACAGAAGCCACAAAGGGTTTAAGTGAAAAGGTGAAAGTTCTAGACTGAGTAAGAAAATTGTTAATCTCTTACGATACCTAATTCATACTTTGTCATGAGTACATATGTATTTTTAATCCACAGTTGGTTGAAGCTACAGAGGTAAAGATGTGAAGGGCTGTCTAGGGAAAAACTCAGCATATGCGGGATTTGGTGTTAGACATCCCCTGCAGGTCTTGGAGTGGATCCAAGGATAACAGGACACCACTGTAGTGCCAAAGGCCACGGAGACAGCTCAGCTTTTTTGTTGTTGTTGTTTTTGTGGAACCAGTGATTGAACTCAGGCCCTTGTGCTTGCCAGGGAAGCGCTTACTCTACTGAGCCATCTCCTCGGCCCCATAGCTCAGCTTTAGATTGTTTTCTCCTACATAAAAACTGGAATTAGCGAATGTGTATCTCATGTTGAGTACGTTCAGGACATGGTATAAAGTACTGGGGCATTATCAGATAGCATAGACCATATCATGGGAGAATTAGCACAGTATTTGGAGAGAAGGGGCGAGTGTCCATGAACTGGTTGTGGAGACTTAGTAGGGATGGATCACTGTGTATAGAGGTCTCCACCCTGGTTCAGAGAATGGGTTGCAGTAAATGAAAACAGGAGTATTTAGGGAAACATGCCTGTCTTAGATCCTGTAGAGTGTAAGTATGATGCAAATGCGTAACTATTGAAGTTTAGTTTCTGTCCTTGAGTGGTGTTTACAGTGTGGTGACCCAGAATTTTAATTAAAGAATGCTAAATTCTGCTCCATTAGGGAATGGATAATTTTTTTAAAAACCGTATTTTTTGGAAAAAGTCTGTGTATTTCAAGCTGGACTTGAACTCACTGTATAACCCAGGGTGGCCTCTGTCTCAAGACTGTCTTCCTGTCTCAGCTGCCTGAGGGCTGGGATTACAGGTATGCACTACCACGCTCAGCTGAAATTTATTTAAGATGGGAAGGTATCTGTGTCTTCTTTAAATTTGGCTTTTTTGGAATGGGCTCTCACACTGGCCTAGATTTGCATCGCTCAGGCTGCCGTGAATCTGCAGGGATCCTTCTGCCTCAGCCTCTGAATGCTGGGCTTGTACAGGGTTGTGCCACCATGCCTGGCTCGAGTGAAATGGGTTATAAATTACTAAAATTAAAATGGGAGTATCATTTTTTATTGTACACATTTATTGCCTTTGTTATAAAATTAGGAGAAATCAAATCTCCTTAGTACTGAAATAGCATTCAGAAAATTTCCCTACTGTTACAGGTTAAAGAAAATACAAGAGAAGAAAAAGATTCTCAAGGAAAAATCTGAGAAGGACTTGGAGCAACGGAGAGCAGCTGGCGAGGTGCTGGAGCCTGCGAACCTCCTGGCCGAGGAGAAGGATGAAGACCTTCTGTTTGAATAGTCTTCTGCTCAGCTTGGGAGTCCCCAGCATGGCTCCGGTTCAGTTCAGTGTCTGGGTTTGGGACACGTGGCTATTAATATTTTGGCCTAAGAATTTCAGCAATTCTAAAATACACCTGGATGTCTACTTACGGGCTGGCTGGCACAGGATCCAGTCCAGCACTGTAGGTCGCTGGCAAGTGAGGTCTGCAGAAGCTGCTCCATGACGCACAGGCTTCCTTCCTGCTTGGCACAGTTCCATTTACATCTGTGTTCACGTGACCTGTTTACCAGGCATTTTAAGAAATACCCTTTAGGAAGTGTTAGTGGTCTCAGGCCAGCTGCTGTGAAGACACGTTCCCACCCGCTTAGACCTTCACACGTGTCTGCGATGCCACTGCCACCCGTGTCACCACAGTACTTCTCAAGCTTTGTGAACACCTGCACTTTCCTTCCCTTGCATGACAGGTCTGTCTTGTCTTGGGAGCAGTCTGCCAATTTAAATGTGACTGTGTTATACAGAGTAAAGTGATTAAAAAATAATCTCTTCTTTTTCTTACTAGTTTACTAAGGGTAATAATCATGTTCTTGCTCATAGGTCAGTGACTGAAGTGCCATCCAGATTGCGCGGCAGACCTCTAGTGAAAGCCTTTTTAAAATTCCAACTGTTTATCGTGATTTACTAAAAGCCTTACTTTTTAAGACCATCATGGCAGTTTGGGTACTAGTGAATGACTGCCAGTACCAGTGCGTGAAGAGTGCTTCCTAACGCTTCTCTCCTAACCTAAGAAAAACACTAAGGAGCTGTCTTTTTACTGTAAGCAGTAACAAGCTGTTTCCTGTGAAGATGAAGCACCTGAGTGGCTATACCAGGCGTGACAGGTTTTCAGTGCTGACTCATGACTCTGCAGCCTTTGTTTTTTTTAAAGAAACAGTGTCTTGCCAGCAGTTTAGGCCGGCCTTGAATTCACTATGTAGCTCAGGCCAGCCTCGAACTGCCTCAGCTTCCCAAGCCCTGGCATTACAGATGTGTGCTACCACCTCGTGTTTTGTTTGAACTTAGTCTTTCTTGTACTCAGTTTTGGTATTTGGGGCATGACTGGCCACGGAAGAACTCTTAAGTTACGTGACACTGGCCTTACTGTATTTTAATCCACTGATAGCACAGTCTAGGCTTCTAAAGTACTAGTGATCTTTAGCACTTGCTATGAAGTGCTAGACCACAGTCTGGTGCCAGGCAGTGTCGGATGTATCTGTCTCATCACAACCACAGAAACACATTCTTACTTCCCATCTCCTAGAGGTGAAATTGGAGGCTCCCGGAGCTTCAGTAGTTGCAAAAAGCCCCAGTGGTGACCCCAGCTTTTAAAGTAGTTGTCTTTCAGTCTTCACACCTTGCCCATTCATCCCTTCTACATGTGACACCTACGGAATTTAAAGTCAGGCTGTGTAGCCCATCTTGGAGGAAGTGATCTGTAGTGATCTGATGCTGCTCACAGAAACCCAATCTCAGAGCAGTGAAAGTTCAATAGTGATTGGAAAACCAGTAACTGAATTTATCAGTGTCTTAAAAATACTGAAGTGTTGAATGTCTCCCAACACTGCTTGCAGAGAAAAAACAGCCCAACTCTGATTATAAATTAAGTGGATTTTGATTTCACAGGATTGGTCCTGAAGCACTGGACTTTTTCTAGGAGGCAAAAATGAAATTTGAAGTAGGAAGAGAGAGCTACATTACTTAGTGATTTTTTTTCATGTAGTAAATAAAGCATACACTTCAAAGCACTGACTCAGATTTGGACTTCTCCCATGACTACTTCAAGTGCTGATATTTATTGGCGTGGGTTAAATTGTCTATAAAACTGCAGATGATTTTATGATTTGGCATTTGTTAAAAAGTCAGCTGGGCTGGGGGATAGCTCAGCTCAGTGGCCTAAGTGTAGGCCTGGCAAACGCAAGGTCCTGAGTTCAATCCTGATATAAACCATCAGTTTGAGGGCAGCCTGCAGTTATACAGTATGACCTGTCTTGAAAGAGCAAACAGTGGACAGAGTTTGTCGTGTGGAGTTGGAGTGATGTGATCCACAGGCAAAAGGGATAGGTCAGGAATAGGGACACAAAGTTAGACTAGGGTTGCAAGTGTATGATTTGAGATCTCATAGAAAAAGGGAAAGCAGATGTTTCTGCCTTGCTGCAGGCCTAGCAATGTGACCAGCTGGCTGTGGGAAAAAAACCTCTGCAAACAGTCCAGTGTGCACACATCTGCTGACACTGCATGCCCGCCGCTCATTGTGCTCAGCCCTGGCTGCACACACCGTGTGTGCCGGAGTACAGGGCCCATCCCTCCTCCCTGCAGGCACCCACTCCTTACAAGCAGCCTGACATGTAGGGAGTGGGACCTAAGACTTCAGTGACAACACAGCCACCTCACAGCCAAGAGCAGCTTAACATGGAATGAGTGCAGCAGTCTCTGGCAGGCACTTGGGAGAATGGTCACTTGTGTGGAAATTCTCAATGGAAGTGGACTAAACACAACCAGAGAAAGTATTCAGTGGATTTTATTTGAAATATAATTTTTAAATTTTTACAATACAGTGTACACTATGACATTTCAAAATAAGTATAGATATAGGGTAAGAGTACAAATGGGGATTAATAACAGATGTCAGAATGGTTACCTTTATTAAGGCTAAATCCCTGGTTTACATTTTCTACACACATTCACAAAATTACATTCAAATCATTCCTTATCAATAATTATTCCTTAGGCCATGAAAAAAGGAAAAAAAATCCAGACATCAATTTTCATAGAAAGCAAATCTGGATTGATCTAAATACTATATTCTTCCATTTGTTCTGACTCGTGAAAATGTAGGAAATGAAGATACTTCCTTACTTGGATTCCTTGAGTACAACTCACTAACTATTGGGTTAAGTGGTTAAGACCTTAACACTGCAGTTTCCAAGCAGAACCACAGAGGGACGGGTAGAACCGGCCAGGGAAGCTGCCCAGCTAGATGGATAGCAGGTCTTTCCCCCATATTTGCCCCCCCCCCCATATTTGGACATCAACACAGCTTGCACTTTCACTTTCTTTAGGGGCTGTGTTGAACATAAGCACATTTGTATCAGTAGGATTTACAAACTGACACATAAACATTTCTATCCTTCCACCGCTGAAGAAGGCTACCAGGTGTCATGACCTTACAGTTCCTAGAAGTGTAGGATTTGTCCATGAAAGCCATGTGCCTGTCTTCATAGGACACAGCCCTACCGGTGGTCCTAAGTTAGCAGGTGGCACAATAGCCACTCACATGAAAACCTTGCGTGAACCTAACAGAAAGTGTAAGTATTGAAAATAGTTACAAGATGCAATTCACAAAACTCCGCTGTCAGCCACAGACTACTTTTCATTGCTGAGAAAGTAAACTGCAGAAAACTGGAAAGATTAAGTGCTAAGTATACTCCTTGGTTTTCAAGGCTAAAAATGGGTTCAGTCCTTATATTTCTTCTGCTGCAGGCTGGAGTGTTTCAGACTTGAGGAGAGGGTAGGCACAGCATTCCTTTCCTCCACCCGTAAATGTTTCTAGAGAACATTACCTTGAAAATACTTCCAAATAAGACACACTGCCCGGTCAAATAAAGAGGCCATGCAAACTTGAACAGAAAAGGCAACAAACGCAAACTACATTTGTTTCAATAAAATTCTGTAGAAGAGAAAAAAATCAACTATATACATGATACCAGACACACTACTCATTAAATAACAATTGCTTGTGTTAAATTACATGATAAGTCAGTACTATTCCAGTGTTTAGCTTTGGTTAGAGGAAATGTAGCTAAAGTCATAAAAATAAAGGCATTCACATTTGAGGTTGTTCGTCACAAATCCCACTGTCCTTAAAGGCCTGAAAAGACTACAAATTGATTTTCCATGCCAATTACAAATTTAAAGCTATGGTTATAGAGACAGTACAAAAACCATATTTTAACAAGCTATTGCATTCTAGTCATAAAGCAGATCTTGTTAGGAGAAAAACCTATTTTTATATACTTAATAACTTTTGTCTCCAATTTCTTTTCCTAAAATGTTCAAATGACTTTAAGAGCTTTCCTTCAGCTCTCAAAAAGTCAGTTGTCATACTATTCCCCTAGAGTGTGTGTGTGTATGTGTGTGTGTAATTTCATTCCAATGTTGAATCAATGACCATTTGTTGATATATTAAATATTAGTACACAATACAGCAGCTATGTTCAACAGAATTCCAGTTACTCACCTGTGTAGTAGTTATAAATACTGTGGTCACATGTAAAAATGCAAAAACTGTCAGATGTGCTATGTCCTGCCACGCATGTAAAAATCTATCTGCATCATGAAGAATCCAGGTACCTTCTATGTTCCATTGTAGTATTCAGATCAGAAAAAGGAAGCAAGGCTATCAAATCACTTGCAAACATCTCACAAAGTTTAGGATATTTTGTACACATTTACTACACTGGAGTCTGCTGAGTGGTGGTCTGATTCACAAAGTTAGAGCTCAAAAAAACCTGAGACTGCTAATGGAACTTCTGCTTGATTCTGAGTTAGAAGGCATACACATGAATTGAAGCCTTATCAAGTAGCTCCAAACCAAAGTGACAACATCTGTTGTCTTTCTCCAGGAAGTCCTTTTGATGGCTAACCTAGTCTCCTACTCAAACACTATTTTGCCCAGTGCACAGAAGCACAGCCCCCCCGTATTCCCATGGAGTCATTTAAGTTAAAGTGTTAAATAATGTCAATCTATGTAAGCCACGGAGTACTGTGTATGTACATACGACTTTTTCACAGGAGTATGATCAAACAAAAGATTTAGCTGATTAATAAAGTTTTAGCAGGATAAAATGGGCCCTGTCTGTTGAAAGTTTCCATTTTAAATCCCTAAAGGAGGCAAGAGTCCCTAAAGCCATGTGTGGAGCATGAAGAACGCCCACAACTGCTCATGAGACTTTCTTCTCACAAGTTCAAGAGATCTAAGCAGTCTGCACCCCACTCCACTGCCCTCCTTCCTGCCCTCCACCTCACTGAAGCCTCAGCTGCTTTCCTATGGCAGTTTGCCAAAACAAGTCTGCTCCAGCCACCGCATGGCTGTTCCTTCACCTCAGCCAGGTGGATGGCACCCACTGAGGTTCTGTGTCAAGTTTGTTAATTAATCGAAGCAATTCCTGATAGGCTTTATCAAGATCTGAATTCACAATGGCCGTATCGAAGTAGTGGCCATTGTTCTGTTCCATCTCTCTAGTCTTCTCGATGATTTCTCTTAACTCTTCAGGCTGCAAAGAGAAAATAAAAATTGTGAGGGAATTCCTACCTTATCCAAACATAGGATGAGTAAGGCAGTGTTATGGTTTGTGTGTAGCTGTCCCCTTAAAAGCCTCATGCAGTTAGGGGGCAGCTTTTGGAGTTCGTGAGTGACTCTTGATCCAATGCTGGGATTGCAGGTGTGAGCGCTACACCCTGGCCCTGGGGTGGATAATATGCATTACAGTGTAAGGAGGGGAGAGAGGCTGGGAGCTGCTGGGCCTCTGCCTTGAAGCCAGCTGAGTGTGGAATGAAACCTTTATTAACTGTGAGCCAAATAAACCTTTCCTGCCTTAATTCTGGGTGTTGAGTATTTTGTCCTAGTGATGAGTGAAAAGTGAGATAGGCAGTTCAAGACAAAGACTATCCTTACATTGCTTTTTGTTTCTCAAAATACTCAACTGCTACAGCTCCTTTTATTTATGGGTATAGGGTCTTGCTATGCAACTCAGACTCAGTGATCCTCCTGTCTTTGCCTCCCTAGCCTTGGGTTTATAGGCATGTGCCACCATGCACAGTTTCAGTGGCCAGCATGGTATACCTGTGGTTCCAGGGCCAGCATGGCATGTGGTACCAGGGATTAAACTGGGGTCCTGGTGCTTGCCAGGCAGGCACTTAGGCTGCCAAGCTATCTCCCCAGCCTCTCCGTTCCTTTTAGATTATAAAGCACAGCCTGTTACTTTGATTTTCCTACAAACATTTCCTTTCAAACATTACAGGGTACCATAACCTCTTCCTAAAAACATCTATTAGATAGTCAACCTTTCTGGTTGAGGAAAGGGCTCAAGGCAGCCCGACTCCTGGCTCCTATAAACAGAGAGGGACTCCCTGTAGGTCTCTAGCCGAGTTAGCGGGAACATTACAGGAAAAGAGGAGGATAGATAGAACGGTTTCTCTTTTTCTAAGAAAATCTTGCTCAAAATCCAAAACCTAATATACACTGGGGCATGGGGTGTGGAGGATATGCTGCAAACACTGAATTACTGCTGTTTTCAATACTGAAGGAACATCTTCAAGATGCCAAAGGTCCCAAGACAGACTTTAGAGCTCTATACAGAGCAGACTATTTATTAAAATACTGTGTGCTGGAAAGTGCTGCTAAGTATGAGCAAGCAGGGAGCAAGGCTATGCACAAGACTGATCCAGAACCCTCTGCCATCAGGCAGATGAGTCCAAGAACCTGATGCTGCTCCCAAATCACCCTGGCACTGAAGATAACACAAGGGGAATGTTACAAAAAGTCACATCAGGGCCAGGGAGATGGATCAGGGGATTATGTGCTTCCCTGGCAAGCGCAAGGGCCTGAGTTCAATCCCTAGTTCAAAAAAAAAAAAAAAAAAAAATCACATCAATACTATACTGAGCTCACAATTTATATCATTTGGCATTCTGCAACAGAACAAAAACATGAAAAACACAAGCACTTGTCCTGAGGCAGCTCCTTGTGCAGTGCTCTACTTTTCATTCTGGAATGCTGTGCCTATGAACATAGCACACACAGTCCTTTGTTCCCCAACAGGGACTCCGCCACTGCAACTGAACACACTGTGACAGTTCTGCTAAATTTTATTCCCACTTAAAGCTCGAGATTCGCTTTATTATATTCAAAGCATTATTTCCCTGAATGCCAAATGTACTTATCTGAACTTACTAGTAAGTTATAATCCATGACAAATATGACACACAATGCTTTATCTCAAATATTTTGGAACTACAATGCCTATAGTCCAAAATGACCATCAGTTCATAGTCAAGCACCCATTCTCAAATCATGCAGAAAAGCTACAGCACTTACTACTTTCTTAGTACAATTCATCCAATTAAACTGTTTTTACTCAGTACCCTTTTAAGTGAGAAAGTACAAAGCAGTGCTCCCTTCAGCAGCAGCTGCACTGATGGATGGCACAGCTAAGATTTAAAAAAAAAATGGGGCATGGTGGCAGTGGTATATAACCCCAGCAGGAGGACTGCTGTAGTTCAAGGCCAGCCTGGACTAGTGAGACCTTGTCTCAAAAAAACAAAAACAAAAACAAGTGGACTAAAAGAAAAACCAGATATACCACCCTCCCTCTAATCAAACAATGTATAATACATATCTTTACAGATGTGCTTGGAATGTTTATAAAGACAGAACAGAGAGACTGTTACAAGGCTCAACTCAATTTTTAAAAGATGGTATCTGTCAGCATCTATTTTCTGGCCATAACGGAACTGTAAATCACAAAGTTATTTCTTAATATCCCCTAGTAGGTAGAAATTAAATAACATACTTCTAAACAAACATGGGATAAATAAGAAACTGACAAGGGGAATAGAAACAATTTCTAATACAATGAATATATTTCAAAACTTATGGATGTGGGGCCAGGGAGATAAGATAGCTCAGCAGCAGAAGTGTCTACCTGACAAGTGTAAGGTGCCAAGTTTGATTCTTGGTACCACAAAAACAAACAAACAAACAAACCCCAAGATGCAAATAAAGAACTGCTTACTTCAAAAAGAATGGTTTAAAATTTAAGCTTTCATCTTTAGGAACTAGAAATGCAAATTAAAGTCACAGTAAGTATACTAATAAAAATATGTACCATCATGCCTTATTCCTTTTTTTCTTCTTCTTCTTTTTGGTCTAAGATAGGGTTTTACTATGCAGTTCAGGCTGGCCTTGAACTGCCAGCAATCCTCTGGTCTCAGCCTCTGGATTGCTGGGATTACAGGTTGCACCACCTCACCCAGCCTTCACTCTTTTTTTTTTTTTTTTTTTTTTTTTTTTTTTTTTAGGCAAGAGTCTACAGGGTGTTCATGGCCTCACGACTAGATTGGACACCTAGTGATCGGCCTGTTTACAGCCTCCCAAGAGCTGGGATTACAGGCGCATGCCACGCCCAGTCTCAATTGCCATCTCAGCATGCCTCGGGGGCAGGGCTGGCAGAGCAGTCCTGAAGATTGAACTCCTGGCCCCTGTGCCTGCTTGTAGGCATGTTAATCTGCTGAGCTATTTGGCCAGTCCTATTGCCTGTTTTTGGAGACTTACAATAAAGCTACACAAGGGGCCGGGGAGATGGCTCAGTAAAATAAGCACTTCCCTGGTAAGTTCAAGGGCCTGAGTTCAATCCCCAGTTTTGCCAAAAAAAACCAAACCAAAACAAAACAAAACAAAAAAAACCCACTACACAGCTGAGTACAGTGACACATGTCTATAATCCCAGGACTCTGGGAGGTAGACAGGATGGTGGCAAGCAGGAGCCCAACCTAGGCAACTTGGCAAGACCTTGTCTCAAGATTGGAAAAAGGGAGAAGGGGCCCCTCAGGATATAGCTCAATGTAAAGGCCTTGGGTTCACTCTCCAGTGCCAAAGGGAGGACCACTGTAGTTCAAGGCCAGCCTGAACTAGTGAGCCCTTTTATGAAAAAAAATTAAAATACAAGTGGACTAAAAGAAACAACCAGATATATCACCCTCCCTCTAAGCAAAGAATGTATAATACATATTTTTACAGGAGTGTGTGGAATTTTGGGGGGGGGGGGCTCAGGATATAGCTCAATATAAAGGCCTTGGGTTCACTCTCCAGTGCCCCAAGCAAAACAAAACAGAACAAAAATTTTTATAAGAATTTTTAAAAGAAAGCCAATTCAATTCTTAAATGAGAAGGCTTAAGACATTTCACAAAAGAATATGCTCAAATGAGAATATGAGAAAATAAGGTCCAGCCAAATAGCTCAGCGGATTACAGTGTCTGCATAGCAGGTGCAGGGGCCAGGGGTTTGATCCCCACTGCCATTCTGGCCCCACCCTCGGGGCCGGCTGAGATGGCAATTGAGACTGGGCGTGGCATGTGCCTGTGATCCCAGCTTTTGGGAGGCTGTAAAAAGGTGGATCACTATGAGTCTGATCTAGTAGTGAGACTCTGAACACCTTGTAGACCCTTCCCTAAAATTAAAAAAAAAAAAAAAAAACCTAAAAAATTAACTTTAGTCATCAGGAAAATACAAATAAAATAATAGTCTCTTCCTCTTTTTCTGGTACTGGGAATCAAACTCATGACACTGAGCTTGCCAGGCAGGTGCTGTGCAACTGAACTATATCCCTGGCTCAGGAAAATACAAATAAAAATCATAAGGATAACACTTTACATCTATTGGAATGGCTAAAAATTTGCATGCTGACAACAGCAAAAGTCGATAAGGATAAAGACTATTGAAATCATCACACATTGGTGGCAGGAGTGTAAAATGGCACACTTTTAAAAAGTTAAACAGTTTTTATTGTAGTTAAAACACATATATCTCATATGCAGCAATTTTTCTTTTATGTATGTGTCCAGTTTTAATCATGCTAGCTCAAAACTGGAAACAAGTCAAGTGTTTTCAACTAGAGAATGGATAAAAAAAATTGGATATAATTTGTTTGTCTTTCCTCAGAGGACTGTTATCTAGAATATGCAAAGAACTAAAGAGTTGGAGAGATAGCGTAGCAGCATAAGCACCTGCTTGGCAAGCTCAAGGTCCTGAGTTTGATCTCTGGTACTGTATGCTGTGCCAGCCACCAAAACCGGCCATTGTGGCACATACCTGTAATCCCAGCACTGAGGAGGCTGAGGCAAGAAGATCACTATGAGTCTGAACTATGTTTTGAGACCCGGTATTGAAAGAATACAAAAAAATAAAAATAAAAAATAAAAAATAAATTAAAAACAGAAAGATTGAGTAAAGAACTAAAAAGAAATTAAAGACTCCTCAAATGAAAGACCCAATTTAAAAAATGAACAATATGAAGTGAGTAGTCTCAATCTAGGTCAGTGTGCCCCGAGGGAAGGAACAGCACGGCATACCAGGGATCGAACCCTGGTCACTGCATCTGCCTAAGCAGGCACTTTAATCCACTGAGCTATCTGGCCAGCCCTCATTTTACAATTTAAAGTCAATACTTTCTGATTAATATATTTGTATATTATCACTCACTAAATTATCAATAATTTTTAGGATAACAAGAACTATTTTTTTTATTTTTATTTTTAATTTTTTTTTATGTGTGTATGTGTGTGTGTGTGGCCAGCTCAGCCCACCAGGGGGCGGGGCTGGCTGGCATGTGGTGCTGGGGGATTGAACCGCGGTCCCTGTGCTTTGCTAAGCTTGTTCTAAGTAGGTGCTTTAGACCACTGAGCCATCTCACCAGCCCCAACATGAACTATTTTAACAGAACAAATATAATTTTAAAAACTTTTTCTTGTAGAAGTTTCGATGAAAAACCCTCAGCTCTAACGTCTACCACTGTAGACTACTAAAGAGAAATGTAGGTAATTCCTGAGTTTGCTGAACACATTGTAGTGGGTTTGGTCCACACGATTCCTTTCCAAGTGTTACAAGATGCACGTGAAAATAAAGATTTACAGAACCTCAGAGATTACCACACATTTGGAGTTGACAACAGGAAAGAGTGTCTCGCTGCTTCAGAGGGCAACTTGGGGCAAGTGATAGTACTTTTAAAGAAGAATCAGTTTGAAAAGTGAAGATGATATACTTTTTTTTTTTTTAATTTTTATTTATTTGGTACAGGGTCTTGCTATGCAGCTCAGACTCGTAGTGATCCTCCTGTCTCAGCCTCACCCGGGCTGTCTCACTCCTCCACAGTGTGCTGGTGGTTCAGGGGCCGGTATGTGGCACTGGGGATCGAACCCAGGTCCTTGTGCTCACCAGGCAGTCACTTAGACTGCTGAGCTATCTCCCCAGCCCATGATGTACTTTTTAAACATGGTGACTAAAAATGAAATGATACAATAACGTGACAACGTTACCTTTGGATTCTTGCCCTCTTTGGCCAGTAAGGCCCGAAGTCTTTCTTGGGAAGGGGGTGCAATGAAGATAATATATGGTTTCAAATCTGAATTCCGGAGGGTTTTCAAAGACTGTCAATAAAGATAACCAGATTTTAAAAATAATTTTTATCATCCTTGGAACATAATAAAGTCATTTAAAAAATATTGCCAATTAATGTTTCTAAATATCTTCATAACTACTATTCACAACAATGTAAGATCATTTCAGTAACTGCTAAGATGACACAACTATAATTCATATATATTACCTTGCTCTTTTAAGTAATGAAATATAAGTAACATGCACAATAACTATGTGATGCTAAAGAGATTGTATACAGATTGTAATCATATTAAAATCCATTTTGGAGGAATTGGAATCAAGGTAATTACCCTATTGCCAGGCTTAAGTAAAATCAGAGACAAAAACTTCACATACAAATGCCAAAGAAAATTCTGGAAAAGAACATCCAAGAAAACAAGATTGTCTGAATTAATAGCTATGGTTTTCACTTTCTCTTCATCATTGTGTTACTGTATATCCTCACACTGAAGTCCTTTACCTAAAGGGAGATTATGTGTAGGGACATGTCCTTTTCTATCTAAAAACATTAAGAGTAATTTGCTGAATTACTCTGAGTTCTTTGGTAAAATCTGTTCTTCCAAGTAAAAAAGAATTCTAAAGGAATAAAAACATTCATACATCTCATAGATCACACATTTATAATAAAAATAGTAATCATACTGTCTTCACTGAAATTGCAGAGCCTATTTACTATTTTAGGATAGCTATTTTAGAATCTGTTCTCCTCTTTAATAACGACCACTGACTATGAAACCTGAGTTGGTATCAGCAACATTCTACCAATTTAAGGAAAATTGTGTGAAATTGGAAAAAAAAAAAAAAAGTAATTTCTACTTTTACTCTCCTTACATAGAAACTCAAGACAAAGTTACATTGGTCAGTTTCTTCTTAGTCAAATAACTGAAATTGAGGTTTTATTATTTACATAAAAATCTAAGTATTCATTGTGACACTTATTAATAATTGAACACAGGCATTTAAAACCTTAAAAATAACTTGTAAATTTTTTTATTTGTCTTAGATCAGAATCAGAAAAGGCAATTTTTAATAGTCTTAAAACATCTAGAGGGGGCCGGGGAGATGGCTCAGTGGAATAAGCGCTTCCCTGGTAAGTGCAAGGGCCTGAGTTCAATCCCTGGTTCCGCCAAAAAAAGAAAAACAAAACAAAAACACCTACAAATATTGTCAATATCATAGTATAATGTACGTTTCAGAAATATACATATGTAAAATGAAAAATATTTTAGCAGCCTACTGAATTTTATTTAGCAAATTATTGGGAAAAGTGTGAGAACTTAATGAAGCTCTGTTGTTCTTGGAATAAAAGTTTCTGCTAGATTACTTTCCAACACATGTGTTATTATAGCTTGTGTCTAGACACCCCCCCCCCCCAAAGCCTCATGCAGTCACAGGGGAGCTTTTCAGAGATGGCTGGATACAGAGTGTGTGGTGCTGGGATCAAGGAGGTATAAGGACTAAGTCAGTCCACTGACTGGTTTGGTATAGTTCTGGCTAAGATCAGGGTGTGAGTGCTCCATCCACCCTAGGCCAGGAGCCTGCATAAACTGTGCGTGGGAGGCTAATGTGCTCCCCGCACCAGCTTGCTGTGGACTGCTGCTCCTCTGTGATGCACCTTTCTGCCTAAGAGCCAGCCAACTACAGTTTGAAAGCTTTCTGACGTGAGCCAAATAACCTTTTCTCTTTTAACTTTGGGTGTCACATATTTTTTTTTCAGCAATGAGAAAAGTAAGATACCTTGTTAAATTCAACATCCTACAGCAAAATTCTAGCTTTACCTGTGTACGAAGACTTAAAAGACATATTTTGCCTGAGTTGATCACTTGCCGTACAGAGTCTATACTGGTTCCATACAAATTTTTCTCAAATTCTCCATGTTCAATAAACTTTCCAGCTGCTATATCGGCCTCAAATGCTTGCCGTGAAACAAAGTGGTAATCTCTACCAGCTACTTCATGGTCTCGCCTACTCCGAGTGGTATCTGGGCAAATAAAAATCATACAAAAATAACAGAATCAGAGTGAGGAGGGTGGATAATTTGTCTAGTTAGGAAAAACTTTTATTTTGTGACACAGATTAGGAAATTATGATCTGAAGAAATGTTCAGAGCCCAAGTGTTTAACACTGATCTTTTACAGTGAGAGGTGAAGAATGTGTTTTAGCATTTTGTTAAATTAATTTCTTTTGATTTTATGCTTAAAGTTACTTCACTTTACATTTAAAACGCTACCACCCACCTTTTCCTAAAGCTTATTATTTCCCTCTGATTTGGTACTGTACGTTAACATAGAACTTCTGTTTGAAGACATCAGGTATAGATTTGTAGTTTCAATATTAGTTTGAAAAACAAAGAACCAGGAGCTGATTTCCTATTGAGCAGGGAACTGTAAGGGGCCCAATGGGAAAAAAATATGTTTCTCAAGAACTATCTGTAATAAAAAACTGTCAAAATACTTAAAATTCTTTCACTGACACCAGTTTCAGTGAGATGGGTAAAAAGTGAATTCTGAGGCAGAAAACTGCAAAACACAAGAAAATGGGAGTGTGTCCAAGCTTACGAGGAACTGCAGATGCGAAGCGCTCCTTCTCTTTATTCATGAGCCTCTGGCGCAATTCATTCTGGCCACAATTCTGCGGCCCAATCAAGATTATTGGTCTTTTTCTATTTGCTGGCTGATGATAAAGGGACATTTCCTCATAAGTTAGGATCTCTTCATTGTCATAATCTTTGGGAAAGAAAAAATTTAAGCCCTTTAGACAGAATTACTGCCACATCCTAAAGATATAAATACCTATAGATTCCCCCCAACACTGGAAAGAAGCACAATTCATTATTAAAATGCTTTTTAAAAAATGTATTTAGTACACAGTCTTACAGGGTCTCACTACACAGATTAGTCTCACAGTGATCTTACAGTCCTCCTGTTTTCAGTCTCCCAAGCACTGGGATTACAGGCATGTGCCACCATGCCCAGTCTCAATGAGTCCAGGGGCAGGGCCTACACAGCCCTCCTGGGATCAGACCCCAGTCCCTATGCCTGCCTAAGCAGGTGCTTTAGTCCACAGGGCTATCTGGCCGGCCCACTTAACTTTTTTTTTAAAAAAATGCCTAAGTTAATAAACAGTACTATACCATGAGCATGTACTTTTGTCACTATAATTCTTACCAGGGTACTATGAAAATGAATCAGAGAACAATATATTAATCATCCTAGAAAATTTTTATTGTGTATCTTGTTTCACAGAGTTGGAACATCTGATTATAATTATACTGATTCTTATAAAAAAAATAGTTTGGAGTAAATATTCTGACAGAGGGTACAATACCAGGAGATAACCTAGTAAGGTTACATATCACTTTTAGAAAGTACAGACATTAATACTTTACTAACCCAGAGTCATGATTTAAGATGATGGGGGTGTAACATTCCTAAAGCCCATAATTGAGGTGACACCAGAGCTGATAAGTGGTAAAAATAAAGGCAGACAACCTGCAGCGTGTATGGTCCCCACTCAGATTATGTCTGTCATACTTGGCTATAAATTCCACAAGGGCAAAGTTGTCTTAGTCTGGCCAGTGCTCAGCAACATTTGATACAGAGTATGAGCCCAAACTACATGTGTTTAAATTCTAGCTCAGCTCTTTGTTAGCTTGGAAGAATTTAAACCACCACTTTAATATCTAAATTTGAATATATTAATCTATAAGCTCCTACCACGGAATAGATACTATTTTTCAATTTGGTTTCAGTACTGGGGATTGAGCCTAGGACCTGTCCACTGAGTTACATCTGCAGCACCACTTCCCAAATACATGTATGTATGTATGTATTTATGTATGCACTTATGTAATCCTGTAGTACATGTTTTTTGAAACAAGGTCTCACGTAGTTCAGGCTGGCCGTGCATTCACTGTGTAACCCAGGCTGGCCTCGAACTTGGGGCAATCTTCCTTCCTCAGCGTTCAGTGCTAGGATTATAGGCACATGCCACCATGAATAACAAATACAGACTGGGTACGGAGGCATGCGCCTGTAATCCCAGCACTTGGGAGGCTATACACAGGAGGATCACTATGAGTTTGATCTATGCAGTGAGACCCTGTAGACCCTGCAAACCCCGCCCTAAAATACAAAAACAAAAAAACACCCAAATATATGTCTTCATTTCTCACAATGTTCTTCTCTACTCTGAATTTCATCTAACATGTACAACTAGATTTTTCTTTTTAATGTATTTGGTATAGGGTCTCACTACGCAGCTCAAACTCATAGTGATCCTCCTGTTTTCAACCACCCCAGTGCTGGGATTACAGGTGTGCATCACCATGCCCAGTCTCAATGGCCAGTGTGGCATGTTGTGCCAGGGATTGAACCCTGGTCTCTGCGCTTGCCTAAGCAGGCACTTAGTCCACTGAGCTGTCTCACCAGGTCTACAACTAGATTGTTGTAATACTCTATTGTTATGTATCTGCTGGCTTCATATTTGCCAAGTTTTCTATAGCATTCCAGCTCTTTGAGCTGGACCAATTAATTTTAGTCTGTCTCAAAGAATAAAGAGGTATTATTATTACAAACGATAGAGGGTAAAAGTAAAAACCCATTCAATTCTAACTGTATAACTTTCCAATTACCATTACAGAATGTCTTAGAAAAAAATTATTAAATTGAATCTCAGCATTAGCATGGCATGGGATACTTCAATAATTTGTAATATTTTATTTTCATTAATTTTTGGTGATACAAAATATTTCACATTCTTAAGATTATAAACTCTGTAAATTGTATAAAAAGGAGCTCCTCTGTATCATTATTTGGCTTGTTTCTAACATGAACCAAAGTCAGACACACAGGAAGACAACCAAGAAGGTAATGAAAACAGATATCAGGTTGAGTTTATTAAAAACAAGTGGAAAAGACAAGTGGAACAGACAACAGGTACCAAATGTAAGGGCAACAACAATCATTTGGCTCTAGCAGGTTATCAGTCAGAAGCACAAGCCCAGGGCTATCAGAGCTTTTGATTTTAACAGAAGTTACTTTAAAATTTTTTGATCTTAGCTATCAAAATGAAACAAAAACATTCCTCTGTGCCTGACTTAGTTTAAATAGTGGGCTCGGGGCTGGAGAGATGGCTCAGTGGTCTAAAGCACCTACTTGGAACAAGCTTGGCAAAGCACAGGGACCGCGGTTCAATCCCCCAGCACCACATGCCAGCCAGCCCTGCCCCACGGTGGGCTGAGCTGGCCACACACACACACACACACACACACACACACACAATAAATGTAAAAAAATTAAAAAAAAATACAACTTTAAAAAAAAATAGTGGGCTCTGTGGAATGAATGGTCTCTATGATATGAGCTATTTATTATAATAGAAATATCAATGTTTTACTTCAAACAACTATTTTATAAGAATTTGTTAGAGGGGGCTGGTGAGATGGCTCAGTGGCCTAAAACACCTACTTAGAATAAGCTTAGCGAAGCACAGGGACCGCAGTTCAATCCCCCAGCACCACATGCCAGCCAGCCCCGCCCCCTGGTGGGCTGAGCTGCCCCCCCATAAATAAATAAAATTAAAAAAAAAAAAAAAGAGTTTGTTAGAGGGGCTGGGGAGATAGCTCAGTAGAATAAGTGCTTGCCTGGCAAGCACAGGATCCTGAGTTTAATCCCCGGTACCGCCAAAAAAAAAAAAAAAAAAAAAAAAAATTTGTTAGAAGTAAATAATTTTTCATATAATTTAAACAGAAACATTATAAGAAACCATCAGTGTAACACTAAAAATGCTAAATAGTTTACCTCTTATACCATTTTTTCTAGAACTTAACAAACACTGTGCTACTCACAGAACTCCAAAAGAAAATAACTTCCTCCTTTTTAAAAAAATATTTATTTATTTATTTATTTATTTATTTATTTATTTATTTAGTGTGTGGCCAGTTCAGCCCACCAGGGGGGTGGGGCTGGCTGGCATGTGGTGCTGGGGGATTGAACCGCAGTCCCTGTGCTTTGCTTAGCTTAGCTTGTTCTAAGTAGGTGCTTTAGACCACTGAGCCATCTCACCAGCCCCAGAAAATAACTTCTAACAAATGCCTTTCCTATGTACATGTATTATATTTAAACTAAAAAAAGAACTAGAAAGAATTTCCTAAAAATAACAGATTTCAGTATCAAACTTAGGAATCCTTTCAGATACAACTACAGCTATGCCTAAGAGTAGAACTTACCATCATTTTTATTAGCATTATATAAAACCTTTTTCCTTTTCTTTTTATTCTTCTTTGCACACCATAATTTTCCTGAAATCATAAATAAGTGTAAATATTATAATTTGTTTCATTAAACAAATCTACCTATTTAAAACTCAAATTGTTTTTAAATTTAAAAATTTAAACATTTATACTGTCATAGAAATATTTTCTTGGTATTTATAATAATTTTCCATTAATTACACATTTTGTTAATGTTAAGCCCATCCCAAAAGATCATCTGATTTAAATGACATTCTGCAAATAATAAAATGATGAAACAGACTAATGAATACCAGGGTTTAGTGGGTGAAATCTGTCATAAAAGGATGACATGAGGAACTCTGATGTGGATGTTCTGTGTCTTGGCTGTTCTATCAATATCAATAATCAATAACCTGATTATAACATTGTGCTGTAGGCCAGGTTAAAGATTTTCAATGATGTAAGTGTGGATCAGAACCATCCAGGAGCTTTTAAGCCCCCCTTCCCTCCCGCCCCCAGTAGAGAGAAAGGTAGTGTCTGCAACTATTTTCAAAAGACTGTTGACCAAAATGGTTCTCTGCTCATGTGTATCTCGTGGTCCCAGGACACACGGCTCTTAGAGAAATTAGACGAGGGAGGGTAAACAGGAGGGTTCGGTTTTAGAAGTAGGGCAGAATGAAGGAATCATCTGGAGAGAAACTACAGGATACTCCTCAACAGGCCATTGTAATTATACAGACAAGAATGATGTAGAGGTGTGCTTTGGTGTTAGCTGTGGGATCAGAGATCTGCTTGTCAGGTTCATGTAATGAAATGGAACTTAACTTCTCTAAGAAGTTAGCTTAATAATGAACATAACCCCCTAAAGGACACAGCTGGATAAAGGATATGTGCACCTCTAGGTCTAAGACAAAATGATAACATGCTCTTGCTTTCCAAAACTAGCAGGTGTCCCTGCCACAAGACAGCATAACTGTTCCTAGTGATCCATGTCCTCTCTGAGGCTCCACAAGGATGCCACAAGGACTTCATCATCAGCCTTATCTACCCTTTCCCCCATATTTTCCATCTACTCTTCTAGGAGGAACACAGATCTAAAATCCCTCATCTAGACAGCCTGCCAAAAAATGCTTCTCCTCTCATCTTGGCCCAACTTACTTGCCTGGAGCCTGATGGAAAACTTGGGCAGGACAAGGACAAAAAGGGCCACTCTGTTGTGAACTCTCTGGCCATAGCTTCTCACTAGGAAGCAGGCACCTAATAGCAGGAGAATTGAAAACAAGAAGCAAATGTGTGCCCCAAGTTCCTTTAGGTGTGACAGCTTGGGGTCTCTGGATGAGTTCACAGAGCAATGCCTAAAAGAGGAGAATGGAACAGAGGTGACTTTGCCAAGGGGATTGTCCTCTGCCTGCACTACCAGGTAAGGGGCAGCAAGAGCAGAGAAAATGGGAATACAGTTCTGGACAGCATCCAGAAAGCTCACTCTTCAGAACATCAAACCAGATGGATTGTAATACTCTGTAGTGGCAATGTTTTAGGCTCCTTTTGCAGGCAGATGAAACCTCCATTTCACTGATAAATATAGCCTCTGTTTCATTTGCTTGCTTATCTACTAGATCACTGTCCTATTTTACTATCTCTCCAATTCCACCCTTGTACAATGTTCAACTTTTCCTTCCTACCAAGATATAGTAGCTGTAAACAGGGTGGCTTGGACCCATGACAATACCCTAAGTGGAATCTTTTCAAGATGGTGAAGATGAAAATGGCTGCCACAGGAAGCCACTGCCACAGGAAGTCACTGCCTTTGAAAAGGTTGTAAGTACAGCTCACAAGGGGCTGGGAAGATAGCTCAGTAGAATAAGTGCTTGCTTCACAAGCTCAAGGTCTTGAGTTCAATCCCTGTTACCACACAGAAAGTACGTAAGTAAGAAAGAATGAACGAATGAACGAACAGCACACAGTAGGCAGTCCATTAAGTGTATTTTGAATGCAAAATTTCTTAGGTTTCCACGTGTGTTTTATATCACATTCATGTATACTTTTCTCCAGACATTCTTCTCAGGAAAACATTTCTTACTGATGATCTTCAAAAGTGAAAGAACTGATAAAAGTTCATTTCAGGAATGCCATGCTTTACGGCTTGCAAGTAAATCTGTTTCTGGAGAAGCAGAAGGAGCCAGGAGGACAGGGTGGGTTGTCTGTCCCTTCACCTGGCAGATGCTTCTGTCTGAATCTACACATTAATTCTTCAATCCTTCTTTACCCTCCTAAAAAGTTTGGTTCCTTTATTGCCCTTTTCATAACATATCTTTACCAAAAGTTCTAAATAATATGCAAATTTAAGTACAGTTCTAGATCAAAACCCAAGAAACTTCTAATTGATGTCAAGTAGTAGTATCTGACCTGATTTTTCTGGCTCCTTATCTTCTTCTATAGTTTGCTTCATGGCTTCCCTTTGCTGCTGGAAGCTCTTCCCTTAAATGCAGGAAGAAAAAAACATTTAAGATAAAAGGATAAAGTATTCTCTAATCAAAGGGAAAACACTAGAAGTAATTCTTCATATATATATTTCTCTTCTGCCTGAGGATAATGTCAGTTGTGATATATTAAACCTCCAAATGTTGACTCCACTCAACCAATCGATAAGTATTACTCAACTATAAATCACCTAGTATAAATAAACCATTATTAGAAAAAAAAATTTTTTTAGTATTTTATTGAGAAAGAAATAGCATTAAGACAGTTTCCAAACAGGTTAGTAGGACAGTTACAATAATTAATACATCTCATATTGTTGTCTTCGTAGTAGTTATTCATAGTACAAGGTGAGTATCAGAAAATTCAACAGTTCAACTTTTAAAATATTTTCATCAAAGTTTTATTTGTAGAAAGTACTATACTAGATCTTACACTGGTTCTGGTCACCTAGAATCATGTCATGTAAATTACATCAATTCTAGGCATTAACTTTTCAAAGCAGCATATGTGCATTCATCCCCTTATGACTGTGAGACACTATGCAACATATCACAAGCACTTACTACTTGTAATCCTTCCTTTTGTTTGAATTTATGTATAAGTAGTAATGACTACACTCCCCTTTAAGTTGCCAATGATACAGTACATGAAAACATGTTTTTCCCTGGTTATGATTTTAATAGAGGAATTGACCATCTTCTTTTTAGCCCTCTCTCATAACAATGACTCTTTGTCTCTTTTTTTGGTACTAGGATTGAACCCAAACCCTTCGGAAAGCTAAGCACATGCTCTACCACTGAATAGCCCTCTCCTTAAATGTTCTGTACTAGTATTATGAACTCTCAGCTAGGCATGGTATCTACATCAGCAATCCTAGAATTCGTGAGGCTGAGGAAGGAGGAGTGCAAGTTTAAGGCCGCCTGGTATACATAGTGAGACCCCTAGTCTTAAGAACAAAAATAAAAACAAAATCAATACTATATGCTTTCTACTATGTTATCGCTTACCTGGAACCAGCCCAGCAAGGGGCTGATTATCTTCATCCCCCTCCCTGTAGGCCTGCCACCAGTTTGGGTCTTCTTGACTGATCACATGAAGTATATCCCCTTTCTGAAAGGACAGACCTAACTCTCGACATGGAACATAAGGGTCATCTGAAGGATCATAGTCAAAATGAGCTTTAACATGGATCTAAAAGACAAACAGAAAAACAAAAACAATAAAATGGCAACACAAAATATTTTCAAATGTTATGATTTTTCATTGGTGCAAAGAAATTAATTTTGAAAGTTGGTCACTTAACAGTATTTGGGAGCAGTATTTGCTCAGGCTTATCTGTTGTCTTTCCTCTGTTGATTCAAACAAGTACACTAGTGTCTAAACTACTATGTTGTTAGCTAACACAGGGGTACAATGGCTTGAGATGCTGAAGAAACACAACAATCTGACCTGCAGAACAGTGGGCACTGCAATGGAGTAAGTAATTGATAAACCACTGACACCAGAAAACTCCAAATTAAGTAAGTAATTACTTTATGGCACTGGAATCAAACTCAGGGCCTCACCTTTGCAAGCAGGTGTTGCACCAATGAGCTATATGCCAGGCCCCAAACTCCAATTTTATTTATTTATTTTTTTTAACATTTATTTAGTGTGTGTGTGTGTGTGTGTGTGTGTGTGTGTGGCCAGCTCAGCCCACCAGGGGGCGGGGCTGGCTGGCATGTGGTGCTGGGGACCGAACCGCGGTCCCTGTGCTTTGCCAAGCTTGTTCCAAGTAGGTGCTTTAGACCACTGAGCCATCTCTCCAGCCCCCAAACTCCAATTTTAAACATTACTTCTTATGTAAGCAGAAAAGTGTCATTGTCACAGCCTCGTGAGCCCAATGTCAGCATAATGGAACCTTCTAAAGGTTCATGAAACAAGAACATCTGAATTGCTAAAATGATCTAACTTAAGATTTTAATCAATTTCTGTTTGTATACCACAAGGCTTACCAAGTAGGCTTGGAAGTCTATAAGAAACCTACCTTTAGCTAACACCTATATGCAAAGAGTGTTATTGCTCCACACAGACAAAACTGCAGATTTGGGCTCAAAGAGCCAGCAATAAATTAGGTCTAAAAAGTTTATAAACTTTTTAGTTTCCTAAACTAACTACAGGAAACTGTGGTAGCTAATGCCTGTAATGCCAGCACTCATAAAGCTGAGGCAGGAGGATTGTTGTGAATTCAAGACCAGCCTGGGCTACAAAGTGAGCTTAAGGTCAGCCTGAACTACACAGTGAGACCCTGTCTCAAAAAGACAAAAAAACCCAAAAAACAAAAAACCAAAAAAAAAAAAAAATAATAATAACTATACCTGTGAGTCCATTTCTCTTTCTTATTAATACATGTTTGTAGTACCTAATGTTTACAATCCTCATGTGGAGCAGGTGCATGGCCAGAACACATCTTCATTCCTTTGCTCATGCCCTTTTCTGGCTTCCCTCCCCACTTATATCTCTTTTAATTTATTTTTTATGTATTTAGTACAGGGTCTACAGGGTCTCACTGTACAGATCAGATTCACAGTGATCCTCCTGTTTTCAGCTTCCCAAGCACTGGAATTATAGGCGCACTACCATGCCCAGTCTTGATCGCGTCTCAGCGCACCCCAGGGGTGGGGCTGGCACACATGGGGATGGAACCCCAGTCTCCTAGCACTTAGCTTGCCTAAGCAGGCACTTTATAGTCCAGTGAGCTATCTGGCTGGCCCTCCCCCTCATATCTCTTGATCCCCTTCTCATTTGAGAAAGATTTATCTCCCTACTTCCTGTTATCTTTTTATTTTGCTCTTTATTTGTAATTTGTGAGTACATTTCTTTTTTTTTTTTTTAAATTTATTTATTTGTGTGTGTGTGTGTATGTGTGTGTGTGTGGCCACTCATCCCACCAGGGAGCGGGGCTGGCTGGCATGTGGTGCTGGGGGATTGAACTGTGGTCCCTGTGCTTTGCTAAGCTTGTTCTAAGTAGGTGCTTTAGACCACTGAGCCATCTCACCAGCCCTGTGAGTATATTTCTAACCAAGCACTGCTTCCCTTTTTTTTTTTTTTTTTTGGAGGGAGGGGTTTGTTTGTCTACATGTAGCCAGGCTTCTCTGAACTCATTTTATTTTGCTTTGAGATAGGGTCTTGCTATGCAGTGCAGGCTGGCTTTGAACTCACAGCAATCCTCCTGCCTCAGCCTCCATGTCTAGCCATGCCCTTGAACTTGTAATCTTTTAGGATTGCAGGCCTGCACCACCTTAACAGGCTCTGTTGCTTTTTCTAAAAACCATAAACATGGCTATGTATCACTAAGAGTCACCTCAGATAACTCAGCATCTCCCTCTTTTGTTTTTTCTTTTAGGTTTTCCTATCTTCCTTCCTTCCTTCCTTCCTTCCTTCCTTCCTTCCTTCCTTCCTTCCTTCCTTCCTTTCCTTCCTTCCTTTTAGTGGTACTCGGGACCGAACTCAGGACCTTCTGCTTGCTAGGTAGGCACTTATGAGCTGAACTATATTCCCAGCCCTTCAGGGTCTCATTTAAGCACATGAAACACTGGCAAAATGATGGACTATATGATAGATATCTCCATTATATGAAACTCTGAATCCCAATGAAGCAACAGTTTCTTTCAGAAATATGGTTGAAGGTATCACTGAAATTATTTCATTTCTAAGGAAAATTTTATTAATTACTATAAATAGAAAAAGAGAAAAATCCTCTATACACAAACAGTAAAACTAAGGTTAAAAGATGACCCAGTTAAAAATGTAAAATACTGGGGCTGTGGAAATAGCTCAGCAGTCTAAGCACCTGCCTAGGGAAGTACAAGGGCCCGAATTCAATCCCCAGCACCACACGTCATACCATGCCCTGCTCTGGGCATGCCAAGCCACCAAGACTGGACATGGTGGCACACACCTGTAATCCCAGTACTTGGGAGGCTGACAATAGGAGGATCACTTTAAGTCCGAGCTGCATAGTGAGACTCTGTACCAAAAACATATATACAAATAAATAAATAAAAGTAAAGTACTGCAGCTGGATGTGGGAGCACATATTGGTAATCACAGCTACTCAGGAGGATCAAAATTCAAGCCCAGGCCCTAAATTTGAGACTGTGCAACTTACTAAAACTCTGTCCCAAAATAAAATGGAAGCAGCAGCAAGAGGGATGTGGAGGTAGAGTGGCACAGTGCCTGCCTAGTACATATGAGGGCCTGGGGAAGAAAGTGAAACAGCTAAGCAATAGGACTCAAATTAATCCAGGGGTAACTTTACATTGATGTATTTTCACAGGTACAAAAATATCCATATAATCATACGGTGAATTTTCATGAACTGAATTCATCTGTATAACCAGCGTCCAATTAAAGAAGCACCTTATCACCAACAATTAGAAGCCCACCTCTCCCCATCTCCTCTCCTCCAAAGGAAAAATACCATCTTGATTTCTGTAAACACTGATTTCCCTGTGTTTGCTTTATGTAAGTACCACTGCACAATCTTGGGTCAAATATGGGTAAGTTATTTCACCTAATTACAGCATTCTGCTGTCTCTCACATACAGCATGCCCTGAGGAACCAAATTATTTCTGATGTGAAAAAACTGAAATTGTGATTAAAATCTTGAGCACTTTGTCAATCAGTACCAAAAATGGATTTTAGAAAACTATACAGGATGACAATGAACCACAACTGAGAGATTAATGGGTACATAATACAAATTTGCAATATTAGGATGAGAAAATTAGTGTGAGGGATGAACTAGAAATGTGATTTTAGAAACTGCTTTGCTATCTCTGTCTGTTGATAATGTTTCCGGAATCTGTTCAAGTGGTTACATTTTAGTAAAGAAATAAAATAAAACATGGGAGATCTAGAAATGAAATTTTAAGTATCACTTGAAGCAGTGGAAATGAAATTTTTATCAGGATTTTTAAAGATGTACTGCACTGGACTACTTGTCAGATTGACTGATGATTTGATCAACTCACTTTCTGAAAGAAATACCCAGAAATCTGTTTTTCAAAGTGTTTTTCCAAATCATCTATCTGAGCTCTTCATTAAAATGGTGAATTTGGGACTGGGCATGGTAGTATATACCTTGAATCCCATGACTAAGGAGGTTGAGGCAAGAGGATTGCTGTAAATTTGAGGCCAACCTGAGCTACAGTGACTTCAAGGCAAAACAAAAACAAAAGTTAAGATACCACCAGGGATGGTGGCATCTGCCTGCAGTCCTAGAACCCAGGAGGCTGAGGCAGGAAGACTGCTGTAAATTTAAGGCCAGCCTATTCAAGGACAGCCTGAACTACATAGTGAGACCCTGTCTCAAACAAAACAAAACAAATTCAAAAAAGTCAACATACAATAATATGTACCAATTTCCCAAACCAAATGTATCACAAATACAGACTATAAAATTATTACAGAAAAAAAGATTGTGTTGGGCTACATTTATCAGATAAAGAGCTACAAATGTTTTCCTGGTAAGGTGGCATATGCCTATATTCCCAGAATTCAGGAGGCTGAGGCAGGAGTATCACTGCAAGTTCAAAGCCAGCCTGGAATACATAATGGTCTCAAAACAACACCAGAAAAGAAAAAGAAGAGGTGAGGAAGAAATAACTATGTTTAAAACCTTTGCCAAAAGCCAAAAAAAATCACCCAGAAAAGCTTTTCTACCTTAACTGGGTAGTTCTTGCTCCCTGACTATCTTGATTTTAATGGCTTGGCACAGGGCTCCTCTTTGGGCAGGTTGGGAAGATGAGGACAAAGGACATATGCGGCAGTAGCGGTTTGCACATGCAGGTCTGATTTATTTCACTGATGAGTACCATCTCTAGTTGCTTCCATTTACCTATAAAAGTCTCCAATTTATTTTTTTCTATATTGTGTAAAAATACCCCATCTTTTTTATCCATTCCTCAGCTGATGGGCATTTGGGCTGTTTCCAAGACTTAGCTATGACAAAATGTACTGCTATAAACATACACATGTATCATTGTGGTATGATGTTTTCAGCTATTCTGGAAAAACAGCCAGGCAGGAAATAGCTGGGTTGAATGGGAACAAGTGTGGAGATTCCTCAAAAAGCTACGTTTGGCAGTCCCACTCTACTTACATGACAAATATATGTAGTCCCATCTAAATGTACCCTCCAGGGCCAGGGAGACAGCTCAGTAGAATAAGCACTTGCCTGGCAAGTGCAAGGGCCTGAGTTCAATCCCTGGTTCCGTCAATAAACAAACAAACAAACAAACACACACACACTACAATTTTGGGGGAGGGTACCAGGAATTGAACTTAGGCTCTTGAGTTTGCCAGGCAGGTGCTTGTGCTTGAATTTTCTTTTGACATCTAGATACAAACCACAATACACCATTTGAATCTAGCAAGTTCAGATAATAGCTTCAGATAGTCGCTATTTTGTACATCTATATGAAATGTACTTTGGATTTTTGGTACAGAGTTTCACTATGTAGTTCAGGTTGGCCTCAAATTCATGGTGATCCTCTTGCCTTAGCCTCCCAAGTGCTGAAATGACAGGTGTGTGTCATCAAGCTTGGCTCTCATGTTTCTAACATAATAAAAACGTAAGTCAGAAAGATATCTTTTGCTACTCTTGTCAGTCACTAATCTGTATAATAATATCCTCAACAAATGGGTTTTATTATTACTCTGCAGTGCTAGGATTGAATGCAGGGCCTTGTGCACGCAAGACCAACAGTGAACCACTGAGCTACCTCCCCAGACCATAATGGAGATGTCTTGAAAGGAAAGAAAGAAAAAAACAACACCGCACATAACTCTGTTTTGTAAAGAACCTTAAGAACATCATTAATCAAACACTGTGTTTTATAAGGGGTAAACCTGCCACCTCTCAAGCTATTTCAATTTCTAAGATTATTTGTTCACTATGACTTTTTTTTCCCACAACCCCTCCAACAGACATTCAATAATGAGAAGTAGTAAGACTTTAATAAGCACTAAAGGTTAAGTTATTTCATTTTGATGTTGAAGCATTCTGAGTTAATTACTTACTTCAATAACCTACTCGTGCATACAATGAGAAGCAGCAGGTATCAACATAACACTTTGATTAATTTTATCCATTAAAGAAATGACTTTCTTTTAGAAAATTCCAGACTCTGCATGCAGATTAGAAAAGAAATGTTGATAAAACGTCTTAATCTCTGACATGTATTCCAAAAAAGTTATTTGCTCAGGAAAAATGGATTACTATAAGCATTTAACTAAGGCATATTCCAGTCTGCAGGATTTGGTGTGGTTAAGAATTATTCTCAAGAAAGTGTGAATTCAGAGCCTAGCTGTTTCCTCATTTCTCTTCCTACAAAGAATTATAAACAGAAGGTTGCAGATGCAACATCAAGCTTATTGTGTTCCACAAAACACTGTAAGAAAATATGGAATGACAGGCAAAATATAAAGTCTATCTGTGATGAAATATTTTGGGGGGGGAATCAAGCTGCTCTTTCTCTCTCTCTTTTTTCTTTTTAATTTATGTATTTGGTATAGAGTCTCACTATGCAGCTCGGACTCATAGTGATCCTCCTGTTTCAGCCTCCCCAGCCCTAGGATTACAGGTGTGTGCCACCATGCCTGGTCTTGATGGCTGGCACAGCATACAGTACTGGGAATTGAACCCAGGTCCTTGCCTTTGCCTAGGCAGGCAAGTAAGACCACTGAGCTATATTTGCAGCCCTGTTCCTTCTCAAATTGTTAAGCTTTAATAAAAGTTAAGAATAATAACAGATGTACTAAATCAAGCTATCATATTAGTCGACCATTATAAAGTCTCTCTTCTTTCATTGTTCTTGTTGCTTTTTTTGAGACAAGATCTTTTTTTTTCCATAATTTTATTGAGAAACAAATAGCAATGAGACAGTTTCCAATCAAATTGGTAGGACAGTTTCAATAATTAACACATTGCATACTGTCTTCCTAGTGGTTATTTGTTGTGCAAGATGCAGACATGATATTCTATTTACAAACACTATTAGAACAAATCCCTCTATTCACTGAATTAAGAGAATGTAGCTATATATCTATCCTAACCATTTTTGAATACACAGATACAAAATGGTCATTCATGTGTATTCCCTTTTTTTGTTTAGTTTCGTCATTTAAATATTATAGGTGTGTGAACTCAGCAAGATATTCCAAAATAGTCCAGTAGACCATAATAGTATTGGGTCTTCCACTTGACTGGCAATGATGAGACAAGATCTTGCATTGTAGTTCAGGCTGGCCTTGAACTCACTGTGTAGCCCAGGCCAGCCTCAAACTTGCAATGATTCTCCTGCCTCAGATTCCTGAGTGCTAGGATTACAGGTGATCATCACTATATCCAGCCACATGTATACAATATTTATAGAAGCACACCTAAACTAAGCAAGTTTAAATTAAACAAAACCACTTATAACTACAGAGAGGGGGGCTTGTGGGTTAGCTCAGTTGTTTAAGTGCCTGCTGGGGCAAATCCATTCAGGCACAGAGGTCTGTGGTTTGTTTCCCCAGCTCCCCATGGCTTACCAGACCCACCCTTAAGGCAGTCTGAGCCAGCCCACCAGAAAAAAAAATCCTTCTCAGCTGGAAAGAGATAAAGTTCAATGTTGGAAATAAGAAAATTTCTAAAACTGAAGTATTTTCTGCTTTTTATTTTAAAGAGGCTTAGAATTTACTAAATTTGAAGGGTCAATATATTTATTTAAATAAATACTGAATTTATTTAAGTGTAAGAAACTGACATCTCTGATACAGATAAAAAGTAAACAACAGCCAAACAACAATAAATAGTAACATGAAAAGTCACTTACTACAGTTTCCTTGGCAGGAGGAGGCTTTATCTGTTGACTAGGAATCAGAACAAATGTCAAAGTTCCATGCATATCAGACTGTAACAGAAAGATTAAGGTGCTTTAAAAATCTGTTTTATAAAAATCATTCCATGATCTTATGAGCAATATTTCCCAAACTGGACTATTCTAAGACTCCTCCATAATCACTGTTCTGTTTTTTTTCCTGTGGAGGATGGAGGATTAAACCAAGGCTTTACACACATGCTATGCAAGTACTCTATCACTGAACTATATCCCTACCCCTTTATGTTTTGAGACTGGATATCATGAAATTGGTAAGCCTGGCCTTGCACTTGAGATCCTGTCTCAGCCTCCCAAATGGCTGGGATTACACACATATTTCAATGCTCAGCCCTACAAAGTATTACTGGCAAATATTCTCAATCTACAGATGCCTTGTTTTTGTTATCCATACTATTTTTTAACCATATAGTCTTACTACTGGGTTCAATATTACTGTTGCATTAATGGCCTGCTTATTCAGATACCTCTAACCAAGGGATTAATCACTGTAACATCTGGCACTGACACAGCAGTGTGCAATCTATGACAGGCACCAACAAAATGGGTATTTCTTTTTTATTTTTTAGGAAAGGGTCTCACTACTAGATCAGACTTGTAGTGATCCACCTGTTTACAGCCTCCCAAGAGCTGGGATTACAGGTGCATGCCACCATGCCCAGTATCAATTGCTGTCTCCGTGCGCCCCATGGATGGGGCCAGCATGGCAGGCCTGGGGATTGAACCCCCAGGCCCTGCGCCTGCTTGCAGGCACTTTAATCCACTATTTGGCCAGCCCTTGGTATTTTACTTTACCAAAGCATTAAACTGGGGTTGAACATAATAGGGATATGAAGGATGTTTACTAGATTTTAGTTACTGGCCGATAGTACAGGTTCTACTCTAGCAACAGATGCTAAGGAATTAAAAATACAAAGTATGAATTATTATTTTTTTTGGGGGGGGCAGAACCGGGATTGAACTCAGGCCCTTGAACTTGCCAGGAAAGCGCTTATTCCACTGAGCCAAAGTGATCATAAATTGCCCTCGATGGGCCAAGGATAGCTCAGGGGCTGGGGTTTGATCCCCAGAGCACCACATGTCATGCCAGCCCCGCCCCGCCCCCGGGCCCACTGGTGGCACACGCCTGTAATCCCAGTACTGGGGAGGCTGAAAATAGGAGGATCACTATGAGTCTGAGCTGTGTAGTGAGGCACTGTAAAAAAAAACAAATAAATAAAATAAAAATAAATTGTCCTCAAGAGCCAGGTGCTATGGTGCACATCTGTAATCCCAGCACTTGGGAGGTGAAGGCAGGAGGCTCATTCCAAGTTTGAGACCAGCCTGGACTGCAAAGTGAGCTCAAAGTCAGCCTGAAGTGCACAGATTCTGTCTCAAAAAGAAAAGGAAAGAAAAGAAAAGAAAAAAAAAAAAAGTCCTGGAAAGATAACTATAAGCCTAGAATGCAAAAGGCCCTGGCTTTGATAACCTGGCATCACTAAGTAAATAAATAGTCTTCCTAATTATAGGAAGCACTGCACAACAGAACTTTCAATAATGGAAATATACTATAGCTATATCTTCAGACAGTACCCATTAATGCCCTCTAGCACCTGAATAATGCTAGTATGAATAAGAAGTTGAAATGTATTACACAGTATAGATCTACAGCACTATTATCATCTTACATTGTTAGGAAAAAAAATTGTAGGTAAGAAAAATAAATGAACAGAAAAATCATGAGGAGCTGGCACGTGACACATGCTTATAATCTCTAACACTCAGGGAGGCCAAGGAATAAAAATCAAAATTTCCAGCCTAGTGCGGGCACCTCACCAACTTTGTGGACTTTTATTGTTGCCCCAGTAGCTGGCACATTCACAGGCACTCAATAAATATTTACTGAATGGATTAATCTGTTACATTATTACTGATTTCAGAACAAAAATATACACAGTAGTAAGAAAGTTCAAAGTAAAATATCAGTGGTGTCCAACCAAAAACAAATTCTACTAACAAATACTGGGAAAGACTTGTATCATAGGAAAGTAAGGCTAGAAACTGTCCTGGGCTCCTGACTTCTGTGAGCATAGAGGGAAAGAGAGTCACAGAGACCAAACCCAGGGCCTCTGCACTCAACTGCATGCCCAGCCCTTTTAATTTTTCATTTTGAGACTTGGTCTCAGTAAGGTGACCAGGTAGGGCTTGAATCTTTTGCTTCAAACTCAGTGTGCTGGGATTATAGGCAGTTTTAAAATAATTTATTCTAAATTTAATAACAAAGATATAAATTATTCTACTGTGTCGACTTACCAACAAATCAAAAACCTCATTGACATCTTTCCCCCGGATTTCAATGCCATTGATCTCCAGAACTTCATCTCCTTCATGTAAGAGACCACTTTTCTCTGCAGCTCCTCCTTTTACTATTCGGCTAATGATGACAGAATCCATTTCATTACGAACTGTGGCACCCTAAAAAGGCCAATGTTTAGTTTAATATAAAAATAGGTTTTTGGCTAAGTATTTCTTTATTTTTAATTGCAATATTTCTGTGCCATATATGTGCTAGTTCAAAAATCAGTAATTCATTTCTTTTGCTATATTTTAAAAGTAGTCATACTAATAAGAACTTTGTAAATGAATAACTTTGTTTTGTCCTTTTTTTTTTTCCGCAGAACCGGGGATTGAACTCAGATCCTTGCACTTGCCAGGGGAGCATTTATTCTACTGAGCCATCTCTCCGGCCCCAATAAATGAGTAACTTTAAACTTAAGTGAAAAAATATTTTTCTCTAACAATGCTAACCTTCAATTATCTTGGGAAAAGTTTACTTACACTGTTGGAGTAATTACTGTCATTAGATTCAAAAGCTGATCATTTCCCCCATGTTTCCTGTTTTAGGAACATTATAGTAGAATTCTAACAGCAAGTGGATTTTTGAAGCATACAACAGCAAAAAACATACTTGCTTAAAAACTCTGTGAAGACCTATAATCATATTTATTTTGCATATATGCCAAAGCCTATACAAATGATTATAATACGTTTGGGCATAAGTAATGAGCATAATTGTAATTATAAAGCACCTTTTTAAATTCAAAATATGATGAAGGGATGAATATAAATCTGGCTCCTTATTCAAATGTTAAATATTTATTTACATCTAACTCATTAAAATGCATTGCATATTAATATTTATTATATAAATTAGAAGTATAAGTAAAATATATTGTTCAAAAATTGGGAATATAACATATAGATTAAGTTTATTGCAGAGCAGTTTGTTCATTTGTTGAGAAGTTGTCATTTTTGTTTTCGTCAACTGCAGCTGTTGTGTGAAGGCCAGCATGGTAGTTGGAAAAGTGACCTAAGATTTCTGCATTGGGTAAAAGAAAATGTCCTGAACCAAGCAGACGGCTTTTAAGTCCACTGGTGGGAAAGCCCCCCCCCAAAAAAAAACAGCTGGCCACTAAAGCTGCCAGGAAAAATGCCCCCTCTACTGGTGGGGTGAAGAAACCTCATCGCTATAGGCCTGGTACCGTGGCGCTTAAGAGATTCGCATTACCAGAAATCAAATGAGCTCACTTGGAAGCTGCCTTTCCAGAGGTTGGTGAGAGAGCTTGCCCAGGATTTCAAAACCAACTTGAGGTTTCAGAGTGCAGCCATTGGTGCCCTTCAGGAGGCTAGGGAAGCACACCTGGGGGGTTTATTTGAAGATACTAATCTGTGTGCCATCCATGCTAAGAGTCACCATCACACCCAAAGCCATCAGCTGGCCGGCCCATATGGGGAGAGCTTAAGTGAAGGCAATTTTTATGGTGTTTTGTAATAAATTATGTAAAATACTTTGGCTTAATTTGTGACTTTTTTGGTAAGAAATTGTGTATAATATGTTGCATTTGTACTTAAGTCATTCCATCTTTCACTCAGGATGAATGCGAAAAGTGACTGTTCACAGACCTCAGTGATGTGACCACCGCTGCTCAGGAGTGACAAGGTGCTAATATGCAGAAGGGTGGGTGATATTTCTCGCTACTCATGATGCATCTTTATGTTAATAACTTGTTGGGTACCTATTAAGGTACCAGAATTGATAAATGTGTACAGGGTCCTTTTGCAATAAAACTGGTTATGACTTGAAAAAAAAAGTTTATTCTCCCAATCTTTTATTTTAATATTTTACCTTGACTTTTACAATTTCTATTTCCTTGGTGAGGAGAACTTTTCGAGCTATAATCAGAAATACCAGAATTTAAGAATATTTCTTTCAATAAAAGAATGAAACCTAGAGGAATGGTAATAGCCTAAAAAAAGATTTGGAAAGTTTTACATTAAAAGTTATAAAGCAAATATTAAGGTACAATTTTAAGAACACTTGAAATATGTAAGAAATTGTTTCTCAGCAAATTTAACAGTATTAAAAGATCAGAATTTTTCCTTTCTGAGGAGGGGTGTCTTTGAGGGTCATGCTTCATACTTCAGGCTGATCTTGAACTGACTGTGTATCCCAAGCTGGCCTCAAACTTCCTAGCAATGACCCAGTCTCTGGACTGTTGGGTCATTACAGTGATGACCAACCATTTCCAACTTAAAAAAATCAGAATTTCTAAATATTGATTTTAAAAAGTTGGAAGAATAGGGGGGCCTGCCCCTTAGCTCAGTTCTTTAAGTGGCTGCTTCAACAAAGCAGTCAGGCTCAGGTTGCTGTGGTTCAATCCCCACAACTCAAGCCAGCCAAACCGGCCCTGAAGGCATTGGGAGAAAAAAAAAAAAAGTTGGAAGAATGAAATAAACTATTTATCCTGTCTTTGTTCCTCAACAAACATTTTGCAACCTATTATATTCATCCAGTTATGGGTGAGAAAAGATGATGAACACTGCTGTTAACTGAGGGACATGAGCAAGAACATAGAAAAACTCCAACAAATTAACCTTAAAAGAAAAAACCACCAAGAATGTTAAGAGTTGTCAGCTGAGAGGTCTTTATGTGGAAAGTTGGATCAGAGATGGGGAACACTTACCAATGGAATATCACGAGCCTTTTCTATACGAACTATTTTTACAGTTTCTCCTCCATAATGGCCAATGCTTTCATAAACTCTCTCATCTGCAATGGGCTCTAGCTGCATTTCCTGCTCAGCAACTTTATCATGGGCCAGTAAAAGTGCCTGTTTCAAGAACAATGACAGCATTTTAACAGCATGAAGGAGACTTTTAAACTGATGTGTATGGATACGATTTTATTTATTATAAATCACTAAAATTACGGTAAGTAGTCTTACATCCATATCTGTTCCCAAATTCTGCAAGTTAAGCACAGATGTAAGCCAGTATATGTTTGAGCTACTGATAACTAAAGATGTGCTATTAGGGGATAAACTAAAATAGATTGTGAAATGCCCAAAATGTTTATTACACTTTCTAAAAACAAAATGAATTTAAATGCCTAAACATGCTTTAGGCAGACGCAGCAACTAGGGTCCGATCCACCAGTGTGTGGTGAGGGCCCCACCCGTGGGGTGTGCTAAGAGGGCGACTGAGACTGGGCCTATGTGGTGGTGCACCTGTAATCCTAGCACTTGGGAAGCTGAAAAGAGGAAAACCACTACGAGTCTGGTCTGTGTAGTGAGCTCCTGTAGACTCTGTACTAAATATAATAAATAAATAAATAAATAAATAAAAAATAAATGCCTGAACATGCTAGACAAAGTTTATAGAAAATACAGAACCAAAAAATCCAAATAACTTTTGTCCAATTTTAAAAGGAAAAAACTTGTTTCAAAAATAATCTGATTAAATATTTAATCTAACAATAATAATTACTTTGCAGAGTGGGTTGTAAATATCCAGCCTGACTAGATAATGTTTCAGGTCTTCTCCAACCTCAGGACTTGGATTTAAAAAAAAAAAAAAAGATGTATCTGTGGAAATGCCATATATAATGTTTTGTCCATTTTCTACCTGAATATGTGGAGCATTCAGCAAAGCAGTTAATTCCTGTCCTTCTTTCTGATAGGCTGGTTTCAAAACAGTTTGTACCTAAGAAACAGAAAAAAGATTATTCTTCCTACCTTACAGGAAATAGTACTAGCACCTAATCAGGGAGATTATTTTTATCTTTGTTTTCTTTTTCTTTTTGAGACAGGGCAACTGGCATGCAATCCAGGATGGCCTTGAGTCAGTGCTGCCCTCCAAGTCACAATGACCCTTTTGCTTCAGCCTCCCAAGTGCTGGGATTATAGGTGGGCACCTGTGGTTTTTGAAAAAAATTATACCAAACAATTTTCTTTTTTTTTTTTGCTGGAACCGGGGATTGAACTCAGGCCTTTGTGCTTGCCAGGGAAGTGCTTATTCCACTGAGCCATATCTCCAGCCCCACCAAGCAATTTTTATCATAAGGATAAAACATACTTGTGTGAAACTGATGAGGTAATCTCAATCTGGGACTACATTCATACTTTTTTCTCATTTAAATCATCAAAGGTTTGGTGTTCTTTTTTGAAAAATCAGCTTCTTATGCTACAAAATCTATTTTTCTTTCCCTTTAAACAATTTAATTCTTCTAACTTTATTTTCTTTTATGGTTTCTCATTATTTGATCTTTAAATTCAGTTTATTAAACTGGGGATATAGTTCAGTGGCACAAGCACCTATCTGGCAAATGTGCAAGGTCCTGAATTTGATTTCCAGTACAAATACATACATACATACATACATACATACATACATACAATAACGTGGCAAATGTATGTATGTATGTATGTATGTATGTATGTATTTAGGACAGGGTGTACAGGGTCTCAATGAGTAGCTGGGACTCGTAGTGATCCTCCTGTTTACAGCTTCCCAAGTGCTGGGATTACAGGAATACGCCACCATGCCCAGTCTCAATCTTTGTCTCAGCCTGTCCCGGAGGCAGCAAGGCAGGTCAGGGGATCAATTCCTGACCCCTGCCTCTGCCTAAGCAGGTACTTTAATCTGCTGAGCTATTTGGCTGGCCTAATGTAGCAAATTTAAATTCAATTTATTTATGTTCAATCTTTTCTCTTCTACCATAAATTTTGTATTTAAAAGTACTACATGAATTTTCCTCTGCTTCCCTCTACAAAGATTACACTGAGGGCTATTATTGATTCTCTTTTTCATTTTCCATCCCCAAGTCCAACTACTCACCAAATATAGAACTTTGTGATAATGTGGATAACAAAACCCAGATTATCACTATTAATGAGGTCAGTCTGACAAAAACCTATGTGAGGCATAGTGATGTACACCTGTAACCCTAGCACTCTGGGAGGTGGAGACAGAAGGAACCAAAGTTCAAGCCCAGCCTGGGAAACTTATGAGACCCTATCTCCAAATGAAAGATTTAAAAAAGGGACTGATGGGGAGGCTTGTGTTATTCGGTGGTACACACCTGTAAATAATCTCAGCATCTGAGAGGTTCTGGCATGAGGATTGCTGTTTGATGCCAGTCTGGGCTATACAGTGAGTTCAAGACCAGTGTGAACTATGCAACAAGACCATGTCTCAAAAACAAAAGGGGGGGGGGAGATAGCTCAGCAGAATAAGCCCTTGCCTGGCAAGCGCAAGGGCCTGAGTTCAATCCAAAAAAAAAAAAAAAAAAAAAAAAAAAGGGAGTGGGGTGGGGTGGGGTGAGGTAGCAATAAGGCCCAGTGCAAAGACCCTGGTTCAATTCTTAGTACCACAAAACAAAACAAAAGAAGGAATTCAATCCATATATAGCATTTTTTTTGAGCAGAGCATACTAAAATTGAACCCAGGGTTTTCACACTAAGCTAATACTCCAGGTCCTTTTTGAAACTTCTAATTCTGGGATAAGGTCTCATTAACTCATTAAATTGCTAAGGCGGGGCTGAAACTATCACTCCTCCTGCCTCAGGTTTCCAGACTGCTAGATTATAAGGATAGACCACCACACCTAGCAACATAGAGTATATTTTTAGTGAGAATTACTCATGATTAAAGCAGGAACCTATTAAAGCTAAGAGATGGATAATTTGAAGATTAACTAATTTTACCACAAGTATGTCAAATTGATATTATCAAAACCAGTCTGTCCTATGGTTTTGGTACCTAAAACATGTTTCTAAAAGAGTTCTATGTGTATAAAAAATTATTTGCACTGGGTGTGCTGGCACATGCTTATAAACCCAATACTTGGGAGACTAAGGCAGGAGGATCATTCCAAGTTCAAGTCCAGCATGGGATACAAAGCGAGCTCAAGGCCAACTTGAAATGTATCGCAAGACCCTGTCTCAAAAAAACTAAATAATAATTGCATTGCAAATTATTTTCTTAGTTCCATTAAAATCTAATTGAAAAGGGTCATGATCTGAAAATACAGATAACTAAAAGCTGATTTTTTAAAATAAACTGAAATCTTGCTGGGCATGGTGGTGTGCACCTATAATCCCAGTACTCTGGAAGTTGAGACCTAAGAATTGCTATGAGCTAGAGGCCAGCCTAGACGATGTAGTGAGCTCAAGGCCAGCCTGAGCTACACAAAAGACGCTGTCTGAAAAACCAAAACAGAAACCAAACCAAAATAAAACCAAAAAAGAAATCTATAGTCCCTAACCACACATCTTTTGATTGCTAGAAAAAGTAAATCTAAGGAAGAAGCTATTTTTGGATTAAAAATATACAAAAGATACAAGTAAACCTAAAAACAATTTTTCTGTACTAAACATTTATTGCCTTTTCTACTTTAAATTACTTCCTAAACATTGCTGAGAATTTCCCTTCAAATGAAAGCTCTGAATTCCTGCCAGTACTTATTCTTTTCCCCTTATTAGCCCAGGTGTTATCCATTCTACTGTTAGCACACAGAATCAGGTAGTTCTACAAAGGTCTACTATTTACTTCTAACCTTGTATTTTTCTCTAGCCATACTGTACTACTATTTGTTATCTTCCCTCAGAAGCAATTAAAGAAACAGTATGTTAAGGGTAAAAGAGTGGAAAACAGACAACCAAAGGGAAGGAAATAAAAGGGCCGTTGTTCTACTTAGAGATGATCAACTTGGGATACATCATTCCTTTATTTTTATACTTCCTCTTTCCAAAGCATTTCATTCATTCAACAAAACCAAGATTATCACTATTAAGAAGATCAGGCTGACAACCCTATGTGAGGCATAGCGATGAACACCTGTAATCCCAGCACTCTGGGAGTTGGAGACAGAACTAAAGTTCAAGCCCAGCCTGGGAGAACAAAATCATGTTCCCTTTTCCTCTACAGTTTTGTATTTCATTACTTCTTCCTGATTATTTCAGTGGTTACAAAAGGCAGTGTGGGGGCTGGAGAGATGGCTCAGTGGTCTAAGGCACCTACTTGGAACAAGCTTGGCAAAGCATCAGGGACCGCGGTTCGATCCCCCAGCACCACATGCCAGCCAGTCCCGCCCCCTGGTGGGCTGAGCTGGCCACACACACACACACCACACTCTCTCTCTCTCTCTCTCTCTCTCTCTCTCTCTCTCTCTCTGTCTCTCAAATAAATAAAATAAAATAAAATTAAAAAAAAAACAATCTCTAAAAAACAAAAGGCAGTGTGGAGGTTACACTACTAAAGGATTAAACGGCAATTTGGTAAGATGCCACTGGTTCTGGCACTATTTTTTGTCAAGTTAACAAAATGTCCTTGACTTTCTAAAAATTTTCACCTCTGAGGGAAAAGTACTGAAAGTTTAAAAAATTCTTTTTCTGAATCAAACTGATTTCTTTTGCCATCTATTCAGGTGAGTTGTTTCAAAATATTTACTAGGAAGGGACATGGTGGCACACACCTGTAATCCCACTACTCAGGGGGCTGAGGCAGGAGGATCATTCCAGCTCAAGGGCAGCCAGCTAAGTGAGTTCAAGACCAGCCTGGACTACACAGCACAACACTGTCTCAAAACAAAACAAAACAAAACAAAAAAAACCCAAAATAATTATTGAAATAAATTTATAACTTTAATATGATTTACTTGGCTGAAGGATCTGGATCCCATCTTTTAAGATCATATCCTACTCTTTTTTTGTATGTGTGTGCAGGGTCTCTCTATGCAGCTTGGACTCATAGTAATCCTTCTGACTTCTGCCTCCCTAGTGTTGGGATTACAGGCATGCCCGGGGGTGGGGCCAGCGCAGCATGCTGCTCCAGGCACATCCTACTCTTAACTCATTGCTCAAGAAACATGTCACGCTTTCTCAGGCACTGTAACCTTTAATATTGTGCTCTTCAATAACAGAATGCCTTTTTTTTTTTTTTTTTTTGGTTCCTGGCAAATTCCCCAAAATCCTCAAAAATCCAGCAAATTTTCTTTCATATTTCTCTCCTTTCTATCACTCTCCACTTCTCAACCCTCACCCTCCACCCAGAACTTGGTACAGCTCACTGTGCTGCTGCCATTTTCTCACATTGCCACCACCAGAAAGCTACTCACAGGATTGCAATTATTTACTCAATCATGTTCCTTCCCAGTGATAGCCTAATGCAACTGTTGGAAGCCAAGAGGTTTCTGGGTTGTTGACAATTTCTATTATCTGACTGTTATAAACATTTGTTCTTAAGTCTTTCTATCACTGTTTTCTTCTCTCTTGTATAGGACACAGTGCCTAGGTACATTAGCTTCAACAGATATTGTCAAACTTTTTTCCAAGGTGGTAGTACCAATCTATACATCACCAGCCTTCTTTCTACTGTTCTGAACGTTTACCAACATTTGCTATTGCCAGTCTTCTAAATTTTAATTATAGTAATTTCAGTGCCTGTGCAGTGTTATTTCTCTCCATGTGACTCTCCTTAGGCATACTCTACATCATCAATCACATTGCTCTGTGGCCCCATAATCTCCTTGATCAGAAAATTTGGGACACCACTGAGTTACATAACATTACAGTACAGATTTTTTTTTTTTTTTTTTTTTTGGCGGAACTGGGGATTGAACTCAGGCCCTTGCGCTTGCCAGGCAAGTGCTTGTTCTACTGAGCCATCTCCCCGGCCCCTACAGTATAGATTGTTATTTCATT